ATTTTATAAACATTTATAATAATGCTCAATGTTTTGACCGGGTTACATTGATATTTATTTTAATTTTACTCTGATATCTGGTGATAGATATACTATTACAAACACTATCTTCTGTTTTGGGGTAACATAAGTCTTTCTCTCTGGATTCTCAATAAACCATTTTTAGTAAGTTATGTCTACTGGTCCTTGTGGCACATGTTAAATACCTAATGCGGGGAGTTTTTGTATAGCACAGATCTAACTGAGCTGTTTAAAGAGGAAACATCCAGGAAACAGGACAGGAGCAAAACAGAAAGTAAGGAGGAGGAAGTAAAAATGTTATTGACATTGGTTAATGTGACAGCAGGTAGACAAAGACAAAAGAGAAAGTTAACAAGAATTGTTAACAAGAAATAGTGTCATGGTGGATGTGTTAGTGAGATGGGTTGTCTCTAACGTCCCCCTTCCTATCCGCTAATGCTGCATAAGACATCAGCAACATTGACTCCTCTGTTGCCATGGAAAACAAAACACCTCCTCTGAGATGTCACACCTCTCTCTGTTCCCAGGAATCAGTGAACTTTTTTTCTCCTGGATTTAAAACTAAAATGTGAGAGTTTTTAATCTCACATCTAGTATAAACGTTGTTTTTGTAATCATTTAACCCTGATCTGTTTGTATGTATTTAATATAAATTGTTCATGATACAGTATCGTAAGAATCCCTGACCAATCTGGGTACCGGTTAACAGCAGGAATTCAGTTTAGCACAAAAAATGCAGATATGTGTGTTTTCCAGAGTTAAATCAAATAGACTCCTTTTTTACTGAGACACATAAGACCAAACTCTTTACTGAAAAGTATGAATCCTAAAGTCTAATCTGGTTGGGTTAGGATTAGGGTTTATATATTGTCTATCATAAAAATGGGAATTCTGTAAAACAGCGTGATCAGATAAAGGGACATTTAACATAACATGTGCAGTTTCGCTCATATTGTAGCTGATGGCCTGACCGGTCTCATTTCAGGGCTGATAAAAGGCAAAATAAGGATACGATCTTGGTTTAGACATCTACATTAATCTGTATTACATCACATCAGAAAGCGTCAATGTCGTCAAAAAACATCTTGCTTACACTTCAGCCTCCAGTGGTTTTCAGCAGCAGCATCGCGTTGTCATATTAGGCCAATGTAAGTGTTACCGCTCTGTGTTTCATGTTGTTAAGCCACATGAGGCCTGGGTACGTCCTCAAGCTTTAAATGGAGTAGTTTTCTCAGTCACTCTACACATACTTAATTTAAGACCCAACACATAAGAGCCTAACAACCACAGAGACAGTAACGAATAATTTGATGGATGACTCTTTATGTAATGACCTAAATAGTTAATCTAATTAAGCAATATGCCTTAAGGGCAAAATAATACAGGAAGCGCCCATTTTAGGCCTACCCTGTATCTGAGACTCATAAATCATATCTGTGAGCACGAATCACAGTGTGCAATGTCTACAGCTGTGTTTAACAAAGTCCCTAAAGAATTTGCATATATTATTTAATTTGATTTAAAATTAAAATATTTTATCTATGCTCTCAATGGAAAATAGCAGAGAGAGACGATTTTCAAAAGGAAGCAGGGGGAACTCTTTGTTACAATTACTATAAATTAAGCAAGTCCTGAGGTTTTTGAATTGATAGACGGAAAGTGGCTGCTATTGGTTTGTGAAATGACAAAGGTAAAGCAAGAATATCAGTGACGGAATATTAAAAGGTGATCCATCCTCAGGTTTATCCTCAGGATGAACAATGGCGCCTCCACGCCGTAGGTGGCGGTATTGTCTTTTTATGTTTGCCAGTCGAAGAAAAAAAAGTGTTTACTTCCGTGTAAATCTTATGAATGACTCCGAATTCCCCGGCGTTGAGTGCTTACCATTTCCAACGCCGCCTTGAATCGAGTTGTTTTTTGACAGCTTCTGCCTCCAAATAGACAGATGGATTACACTGCAACTCAAGGCGGGTTCAGACAGCGTAAGTTACGTACGTAATCTTATCAATCATGCCTCTAAAGTCTTGGGATGCACCCATTTTAGTCCTGCTAGCTTTATGGAAACCGACGTAGTTTTACACGGAAAACAAGCTTGCTGCTCTCAAACGGTTTAGGCTCAAATTACATCAAGAGACTTTAAAATACACACGCAAAACGTCCAGTTCTGACAAATTTACCATTAATACGTGCGCATGGCTTTACTAAAACGAGCCTGATAAAACTGCTTACAAGCTAACTTGCTTAATGTTGAAGCCGGCTAACACAGGACGTCTAACGGTTTTCTGCCCTGATACTTCTGAGAGAAGCATCATTTCCACATCAAAGTAGATGTTTTATGTATATTTATTCTAACTGCTCATTTGGACCATCATTATCTTTTACTTTTTGTTAATCTTTGTGTTCTTGCTGATGCAGAAGCTGGTTTAACAAGACTGCAAGTGTGTTTTTGATTTGATATGAGGCATGTTTAGAATGGTTAAGAATCAAGAATTTGAAAAAGACATAAAGTAGTAGACCAAAAAAAGTTAAATTGTCTAAATAAAGTTATAGATACCGAACTGAGAACACCCACAGAACAACTGACAGGGAATCAGTCTGCCTGTGGCTCAAATGATTGTTTTCCAATTCTGCCTGTTTGATGCATTTTTAAAGTCATTCAAGATATCTCCATCTTTGTTTGCTTCGTACCCCTCAATGATTCTTCTCTTTTCTTTGTGCTATCAGAGCCAAATATGCGTCTGAGGAATAGCTCTGTGGATGGCTCGGATGGCAGCCAGCTGTTTGAGGATACCAGTGGAGTTGGATCACAGGGAGGAGCATACATGTAGGAACTAAAGCATAAGAGACAGAAGAGACACAAGAGTTTAATTTTCTTTTTGTTTTAGTAAATTTGTACGTTCTGAGAACACATGCTTTTTTTATCATGCACTTTATGGATTAGTGTGATGGATCGTCTTTGTCATTCGGCTGAATTTTGCCCGTCTCCCGTTGGCAGGAACCCACAGGCTGGCCCTCAGGCAGCCGGTTTTCCCGGCCAGGCTCTCCTCTCTGACCCCATGTCCAACCTGGCCATGGCCTATGGCAGCTCGCTGGCATCCCAGGGCAGAGAGATGGTGGACAAGAATGTAAGACTATAACACGGTTGTTAACTTTGAATGCTTTCCTTCGGAAAGACCAGCGGGAGAAAGCTTTTTCACGAGTCTGGCAGCTGTTCGATGCTCTCAAGCCATCTCTCAGTAAAAGCTGTTGCATGTCTTTGTTTCAGCTGGACAGGTTCATCCCAATTTCTAAGCTGAAATACTACTTCGCAGTGGACACAGTGTATGTGGGGAAGAAGCTTGGCCTTCTAGTTTTTCCATACATGCACGAGGTAAAACTTGTCTTTAAAGCGTTTCTTTCTGTCCTGAACATTCTAAAATATCTGATCTTGTGTGATTGAACTTTATGTTGTAAACCATATTGGGCCAGAGTCTGAGTAGTACTGATGTGATGTGTGTGTGTGTGTGTGTGTTTAAGAACTGGGAGGTGAGCTACCAGCAGGACACGCCTGTGGCTCCGCGCTTTGATGTGAACGCTCCTGATCTTTATATACCGGCTATGGGTTTCATCACATACATCCTGGTGGCTGGGCTGGCTCTTGGCACACAGAACAGGTTTGTCTTGCTTTTTATTTGTTTTTGTTTTTTTATGTATTTATTTTCAATTGAATGTGTCAAAATCTCTGGGATTACTTTAACAGATGATCGCTAAAGCGCTAAAGAAATAAGGTCATGTCCCACTTAAGTAAAAGCAGCTGTAACAATGTTTTTTTTTCATTTTTATGAATTAATTTTGTCCAGAATTATTCATTCAATATTCTTTCAGCTTATGACAGTGAGAGGTTACTATACAGTAAATCTGATGTGTTTCACTTTCTGTCTCGCTTAGGTTTTCTCCAGAGTTGCTGGGAGTCCAGGCCAGCTCAGCTTTCGTGTGGTTAATTATGGAGGTCCTGGCGGTCCTGTTGTCACTTTACCTCGTCACTGTAAACACAGACCTCACCACCATAGACCTTGTAGCCTTTTCTGGATACAAATATGTTGGGTATGTACCCATGTTGCTGTTAGGATTTCTTTTTTTTTTTTTGCTCAGTTAATGTCGAACTTCATCTGAAATCCTTTTGTCTCTCTTTCACCAGGATGATTGTCGGTGTGGTCGCTGGACTTTTGTTTGGGAGGCCAGCATATTATCTCTCTCTGCTGTGGTGCTGCGTTGCTATCTTTGTCTTTATGGTGAGAGGAAGCAGTTTTTCTACTCCTTTTAAATATGACATTTCTGCTTTTAGCAGACGCTTTAATCCAGAGCGGCTAAAAGGGAGACAGGGAAAGTAAAAACAGCAGCAGCTAGATATAGGCAGACTTACCTCTGCACACAGCCTGGGCTCTGGAGCCAAACTCCCGGAGAAGGGGCTAGACTCTCTCATACTCTGGAGTTGCCCAGAACTCAGCACCTCTCTAAAGGAAAGTTCTGGAGGGAGGCATCAGGCGGTTGTGAGGATACTCACTCCCGAAGGCCTCTGTAATTTCATTCACACCTGTGAGCAAGAAGTCCCCTCACTCAAACAATGGTTATACATCCCTAAACCAATAACTATAGAGGGGTTTCATTAGCATACGCTAACACAGATTAATCATCCTTCACGGTCAAAAACAAATAACATTTAGAAGTATCGAGTCATGGCTGAGGTAGAGTGTGTTCTGCTGCTCTCTCCTCAGATTCGCACCCTGCGTCTGAAGTTGTTATCTGAAGCAGCAGCTGAAGGGAGGCTGGTGCGAGGAGCCAGAAACCAACTCAGGATGTACCTCACCATGTCTATAGCAGCGGCCCAGCCCATCTTCATGTACTGGCTTACCTACCATCTCATCAGATAAGAGCTACGAGATCCACGCTTGGCCGCCCCGCTAGCTCAATCCCTTTAAAGAAATTACACATATAGCAGAAACTGAGACAGAAGGACACAGTTTTGAGACTCGTGGAGCAGAAGAACATGCTACAAGACAAGTGAGATGAAGGCATCGCTGCCTTGTCCTCGCACAGCACAGCCATGTTGTTAGCATTGCCTTTTTCTTTCTCTTTCTTTTCCTTTTTTTTGTAGTAGTCAAATCGTCTAAATTTGTAACGAGAGCAAGTGGCTTTATATTTGTTCCTGTTCTTTGTAATTGTCAACTTTGTTGTCATTGTTTTTACTTTTGGAATATTTATGTTTATGTGAATGGCAATAGTATTATTGAAGATGCAGCTCTGGGCTGATCCCCTCTGGGGTTATTCTGAGCCAATAGAAAGCACACTAACCTCCCACCCGCCGTTTATTTATTAGAGAGAATAAGAAAGTCAAAGCCAGCTGGCGTCCCTCGAACAAGTAGAGACTTTCCTTTTTGTGGTGAAACGATCAAATGACTGGCATCCATTGGAAAACTAACCACACAGCTGGATCTGGAAACGAGGTTATGTAACTGGCCTAAAGGCATGTTTCAAAGACTGCCATTTTAAATGTTTAGTCCTTTTGATTGTTACATTTGTGAGCTTTGCTACCTGGCACTGAGAGATCAGCTGTAAGGAGAGTTAACATTGCAGTGTTAGCCTCATGAAAATAGGTGAACTTACTTTGATATCTTTTTAAAAAAAAACTGTTTATCATTAATGCTTTTCACAGTGAAAGTCAGATGGAATAAAGAAAGGGATAACTGATGTTTGTGCTTCAAAAGCTGTTTTTAGTCTTCTTTGGATACTTGAAATACTGTAATTTGGTGTCAGCAAAGCTTCATTGTGCATAATGTCCTTTTATCATTATGAAATGTTTTTGTGTTGCCAATGTCTTTTTCATATCGACTGAAATTATTTAAGAATAATAACTAAAATGCTTTTGTTTCCACTGGATTAGAAAAAGAAAGATTAAAGCCTTATCAAATTCACTGAGGTGCATCTGGAAGTGATTCGATAAGGACTCAATTAAACAGGAAACATCTCACTCTGGACAAGTTCTGTGTGTTATGTTATGTTGGAGGTCATTTAATCACTATGGCTCCATTTATCATGAGTCGATCCCAGTCTGAGCGTTGATCTACCCCGAAAGCACAAGCTGAATAAATCAAGCCACTGAAGTCATTTTGATAAATGTCTTATAAATAAAGTCTGATATAGAGCTGTTTTTTGTGATCATATTTGCCTGTCTATCACAGGGGGAACATTTTTCTGTTTAACAAAAAATTCTCATGAAAAAAAACAATTGAAAATACAGTTCCAACTGCAAAAATAATGCATTGAATTTGAGAAAAAATTGAAACTGAAAAGATTAAAATTGTAATATAAATGTAAAACTGAATATGCCATTCATTACCATTTGAGTGAAGATCATGAACAGCATAGCTGCTAAAGTTGACCTTTATTTTGATTGGTATTGAAGGTACATATATCAAATAATGTATTTTTCTATATGTTTTGTTCTTGATTATACAATATATGAGCTTAAGATTCAACCTTCTCTTGTCATCGGGTTATGTGAGTGGACACACCTGGATTAGTGGCAGTGAAACCGTTCCTTCTACAATATAATAGCAGAAAATTGTTAAAATTGCATCAACATTTAAACACAGAATATGTGTTTAAACGGCATTTGCAAAGAAAGTGAAACACGTGCAGTTATTTTGACTATTTTAACTAAATGACAACCTGGGTATCAACAGTTCAAAGCATCTGTGATAAAACCGTATAACCTGTGTCTGAATAGAAGTGTCTATATTTAGAAGAAACGGAAGATTGTGGAGCTAAAAAGATATTTAAAAAAACACATTATTGTTTCAGCCTGTAAAATCTATTCCTTCCAGAAGCCCCTGTTGTGGTTGATGGCCTGACGAAGCCTGGTCCTCATTGTCCTGTCTATTGGGTATCTCTTGTAGATGGGCAGCAGTAGCATAGAATGGCAGGTGAGCGATTCTGGCAAATGTTTCTCGGACGCATCAGGCAACACAGCCACCTTCATGTGAATGTGCTCCATTCCCATAAAGGGCACGCGGTCACATCCTGTGAGGAACACTGAACAAAAGAATATATCTGTAAAAGGTCGGCTAACGTTGAACGTTGAAAGACTGAGCATGAGAGAAAAATCGAACACGAAAATATGAGGCAGAGTTCCATCCAATACTTACAGAGGAACTTCTTCTTCTCCTCGGCTGTCAGTTCGTCAAACACTTCCCAAAAAGTAATGATGTTTGGGTGGTCAGCGTGGTAGTCTCCTTCATAAACCGTGTTCTGTTTGAGAAAAAGGGGGAAAAAACATGGAAAAAGAGGCTAAATTAAAGGGAATGGTTATAGTTTTTCTGTACTCCAGCATTCTTATATGTCATTGTGCGGGGGCTTCACTTCACATATTTGTGCTGTTGGTAACATGAAAACACTCATCTCAAACTTAGTAAAAACTAAATCAAAACACTCAAACTGATCAAGTTCAACTGGGACCTTAAACAGCATATAAAATGTGTCATTTTTATTTTAACTTTAGATTATCTCTTCACAAACCTAAATGATCAATTAACTAAATGTTTTCTCAGTCTTAAATGGCTTTTTAAAATATTAATGTGACAAACACAAGTGTTTGTTGTACAACACTGTGCCAATATGAATCCATGTAGTATAATCCATGTGTTTTTTCAAAGACTCAACCATTCAGCAAACCTGCTTGAACACCTCCCAGTCGTAGTTTTCTTGGCCCACCATCACTGCTTGCAACTCTTCCGGCTGGAAGATTTCCACCACATCAATGTTACACACTTTGAAAAACCCTCTTTTGAAGGCTTCAAACACACCCTCCACCGATTTGTTGAAGACATGGTTGACAATGGCATCCACATATTTCTTCCTGTAGAGAAAAGGAGTGAAGAAACTGTAAAAATACCACCTGCTGGTAAAGCTTATGTACACAAACTAAATCACTGCAAGAGGTAAATGGCTGCTGCCTTTCAAACATACCTGTTTGACCAAGTGACGAGTTTCCCAGCTTCATTTGGTTCTAGATCAACTTCCTCCCCACCCCAGAACACCTGTAATTTATTGAAAAAGGAAAGCCACAGTGAGACTGGAATACCGCACGCACTTGTTGTTACTCTAACAAATAGAACTGATAACAACCCAGGCTGTCTTCTTATAAACCTACACTGAAAGGATATTCCAGCTCTTTGATTTGATCTGGGGTGTATTCCTCCAAAATGCACCTCCAAGACCTCAGCACAAAAAAGACAACAGCAAAATATGAGTCACAATCTTCTCTTGTACCATTGATGCATTCTTCTTTCTAAGAAAACATCTAAACCCCCCTTTTAAAAAAATCATTTGACTTTTCTGTCTTACTCTGCCAGCACAGGATCCAACTCCTTCATGTCATCTAGAGATGGTTTGACACGGAGCAGCTTTTTGAAGAGAGCCTTTGGGAAGGGCAGGTGCACGATGTTGTGATTGTACAGAGCCAGGCCACACAGAATACCAAACAGGAAGTAGCTCTTCTCTGTCATTTTTGGCTGATTTTTTGGGAAAATAAAAAAGAGAATAAGGAAATGTTAAAAGTCGTTGGTAACATGTGTCTATCGATAATAAAAAGATAGGATCTAAATAGTATTAATGTATGTTAGTTAGTCATTTAAATCATATTATTTCATTTTCCTTTATATATGTACTTTTGCATACAGACTGAAAAAAATACTGACTTCTTTTTGATAAACTGGTCTTACCCTGGGTGGGAACCAAGCAACAGTCTGGCTCTCATTAAACATGAACATTTCAGATTCCGGGTTCATCAGCTCATCAAACACGTGAAGGAAAAAGTCATGTTTGTTGACATTCATCACCTTCCTGTCATCCACAAACTGCACCTACAACAGAAAAAATGCATCTATTTTTGTAATATCTAGTACATATGTATATTGCCATCAGATTTTGTCATGGAATATCCAAAGTTTTCATTTTCTTCCAATAACAGAAATTTGTCTGCTTGGCAATCAAAGTAAAATTGTCTTTAATTTTACATATTTGCTTTAAAGTTTAGGGTAGTACACACATTACACATTAGGCAACTCTCAACCTGTCACCCTGTAAAAATACAACTAAAAGACTACACAGGAAGTTGCTGGGTAATTTAGAGCTATTTAAACATCTGCTGAAAAACCACATCTGGAAGCTCTGGAGCACAAAACTGGCAAAATGTTTTAGAAGTTTACCAAAAGCGTCTTTTGGAAAGCGGAATGGTCCGCCGCAGCGAGCTGCCTGAAGGAGTCCTCGATCAGGTGGGTTCGTCTCAGAGTTAGCTGGAAGACCGGGGCCTCCGTTTCATCTGGTAGGTCCTTCAGCAACCCTGGAGGCAACCCCTGAGCAATCTGATGAGCCATCTGATGAACCCCCTGCATTCATACAGCAATCTCTTAAAAAGAAAACCTGACGCAGTTGGATTAACTGCATCATGAATCAGGTCAAATGTGTCTAAATGATCCCATTTCTAACGCGTGTTTTACCTTTACAGCTTGTGCATGGATGTTAAACACTGCAGTCTTTTGCAGCAAAGTGAAAACAAATGGGTAGCGGCAGAAGATGACAGGTGTTTGCTCGTTGTCCTTGGAAAATAAATAAATAAATAAATAAAACAATTCAGCTAGAAACTGTTTCAGCAGAAGGGGAGTGACAAAATGACAACTTTTTCATATTAAACAGACACTGTTCTTATAAATCAGTGTGCTTTTACCTCCACTTTAAAGTGTAAAAACCAAAGAGTGACGTCCTCATGCGGGACAACAGCATCGTCAATTTCCTCCACATAAAAAGTGCTCAGTGGGACCTTGAAGGAGTTTCCTGACTTGTTTGCCTGAAAAGACATAGAGAACATGGAAATCTTATCTCCTTTAATCCTCTATTATAATATAAAGGCCAAACAACAATGTTTTTTTTTTAAATTGCTGTGCAATGCAAGCAACAGGTTTTTCAGAAATGCTTCAGACATCAATTCATGATCTATAAACTTGTTATTCATTCTGAATGACATTTGACTAATTCAAATAGCCCATTTTAAAATGCTAGTTAACCTTTTGAGGTAAATCAAATTGTCAGCACTGACTTTATAGAGCAGCTTCAGGGCTTCCAGCATGTATTTGACCCCTGGGTTGTGAGTCTTTAAGAGGTTGTTCCTCAGCATGAAGGCCAGGGCGTTTTTGAAGACCATGATGTGTTTTAGCAGAATGGAAGCAGGAAGCGACGACCACCAGCTTTCTGCAGAAAAGAATGCACTCACTCCCACAGAAAAGGTTTGATACATTTTTTTCTAAACTGTACTTCTATCATTCAAGAAGCAAACATTAACAAGCAATACTTCACATGTTGTATTCAATCACTTGTAAAATTAGACACACGTCTGCATGAAACAATGGTGAAATGTCGCATTTTTTTATTACTTAGTGTTGCCAAAGTTCTCTCGCTGAGATCCGCCACGATAACTGCCAGAGGCAAAACTCCTTTCATTACAAAGGTGTCCTCTCTTAGCAAAGGCCACGACAGCAGAACCAGGAGAATCTCTGGAGATTTTAAGGCCTGTCTTGAGGCCAAGAGCAACTCCAGCAGGAGGTCCAGATCCACCTGCATTGGGATAAAAACTATTTTAGATCCCACAGTCTTATTTCTACCTTTGTATGAAATAGTACTATAAAAAATATGTGTCAGCAAATAACTTAGGCTTGTTTGTTTACTAAAACATGAAAAGTGTTCCTAACTGATTTTTTGATCCATGGGATTGCAAACATCTGGTCGAAAGCTTGGCTCACAGCCTCAAGATCCACCGTACAGGCTCCAGTTTCCAGAGGAGGCCCTCTGGGATTAAAGACAAACCAGTCTGAGGCAGTCAAAACATTTCATTCTATAATTTACTTTTCAAAACCACCTAAAAAAATACACACTGGGACTTACTCGGCTCTTGTGAAGCTTGCAACAAGACTGGAGCTTGTGTAAAACATCGATTTTATTTCCCTGTTGCACGAAAAGGAAACTTATTTGGAGAGCATTACAGACACTGTAACCATAGAATGAATAAATAGTATTTCTCAAGCTTAAATTAAAGAGGAAACACAGCAATCTCAAACAAAAGGAAACATTCTGAGCTGAGACGAATCACCTTGTTGCCTCAACGTTGCTGTATTCCATTGTGAGCCATTTTTGTAGTTTAGTGCTCTGGAGACGCCCAATAATCTGTCCATGATTCTAGAAAAGATTTCAGAAGATACTGGGATACAAAACTTTGCGATTATTCATTTTCTTTTTTGGAACGGGGCGAACACCTTTGGAAACTATGTATCTTAAATCTTTTTATATTACCTTTTTGGTTGATGAGTAGATGAAGTTTGTGTTCCATCCACACGATATTTTCAAGTCTGTTTGAGAAAATAACAAGAAAATGAGGAACTGAATTTAAAACCTTTGATATTAGAATAAATAACCCCTTTCAATATTCAAAAAGCAACTGATCACATCTCAGATTAGTTTAAAAAAACAGTAAGATCAGAGCAGTTACAGTGAGAACATTTAAAAAGAAAAACGTCTAGTTTTGTGCTCACTGCCCGCTGCAAATGAAAACCTACCCTTGGGTTTGGCTGCCGCACTGTCAGAGGTCCATGGAAGCTGGACCAGGGTGGGACACAGACTGCCATCTCGCTGCCCAGTTCCTATTTGACCCTTGTCTCCTCTGCCAAAAGCCCACAGTTGGCCCGAGGAGGTCAAAACCAAAGTGTGGTGCCTGAGAAGCCAGAATCAATTATTAGAATTTTATAGATGATTCTTTGGCAACATAGTGCACATTTCATATGAATTTAAGGAAGTGACGCTGAGTTAATTACTGTGTAATTAAAACTCCCTAACATCATTATAGAACTAAACACAATCTGTAGTTTTTACCTGCCACAGGCAATCTGGGTTACAGATCCATTCAAACCATCGACCAGTCTGGGTCTCACTTCATCGGTGGAGGAGCCATGACCAAGCTGACCATAGCTCCCTTCTCCAAACGTAAAAACTTCCCCCACCTAGAATTTAACAAATGTATGCAGAGGAAAGAGTCACACCTCAGACTAATCCTATTTACAGGAAGACATTTTATCTGTGAGGGAAATCTGAGGGAGTGGTCACTTTTGTTAACACAGCCGTGTGGGACTCTCCGCAGCTTATGGATGAGACACCCAGAGGTCTGAGAGCAGGTACCAAGCAGATGTTAAACCGGCCTGTTGAAAAAAAAGAAAAAAGAAAAAAGATAGATATTTACTGTGGACTTTAAGTCCCCAAAGAAAGGAATCCCAGCAGAAACGCTAACACAGTGCTGACCACCACAATGCTTTTGACTAAGATTCAATCACTGCACCTTTTTCATCCACCCTGTTGAGTCCAAGCTGGCCCGATTTATTGGCCCCGCAACAGTACACCAGTCTGGAGGCCGTGAGGAACATGGTATGGCAGCCTCCGGCTGAAATGCAAGTGACCGCGACTCCGGTCAGGGCGCACACCAGGACGGGCTTGTGCTGCACGGACACGTCCTTCCCAAGGCCCAGCTGACCATGGCTGTTTGAGCCCCAGGAAAAGACATCTCCTCCTGGGTAGATATTCACAGTACAAACACTGATTTTGAAAAACCAGAGGAAACAATGACCGTATTTCACCTTTCTTACTCACGCATGAATGCTCCATAACAAAAGCCTAATAATAACATAGCGCCTCTTAGCCCATTTATTGTCTTACCTTTAGTCAGTGCCAGGGAGTGACACTTTCCACACGCGACCTGAACTACTCCTATGGGCATCGGTATGGGCACCTTGCTGCAAGATGGCCAGACAATAAAACTTCAACATATTGTAAATACAGTGTGTAAAATTGTATACTCCACACTCAGAAATCTTACCTGGGTCTGTAAGTGTTGCCCTGTGGCTGTGGGAAGATCCCAAGTTGCCCAGCTTCCCCTGCGCCCCAGGAGAACACGTGTCCAGAGGCACATAAGGCCAAACAATGGTCCTGACCACAAGCCAACGCCACCACATTGTCCAGCCCCTCCACACGGCCTGTCTCAGGACGACAGATAGAGAGTCACGTGTAAACACGTTTGGGGTCTCAAGACACATTAGGTAAGCAATTTATATTTTCTCTTTCAAAAGAAAAAAAAAAAGGGTTTTAAATAACATGGACACTTTGGGATATGGTAATATTTTATTTATGATAGTGGGAGTGGGGGAAAAAAATTGACTTGTACATAAACAAATACATTTCAAAATTATTCTGATCAGTTTGTAACATTTTCCCTTGAGTAGCATGTTGAAGTCTGAAACTGTGACAAATCATGACTGTGTCACCACCCATTCTTTATATGCATGTTTAACTTGTGTTTTCATGTTTACTAATTAAACTATAAAAGCCAGCAAAACGGACCGAACCCTACCCTGAATGCAACACATGACTGATAAGCCAAGTTTTACGTCAACACAACGCAAACTCTGAGTTAACTTTCGTTGTCTGCTCAAACTCCGAGTAAACGAAACTGAAACTTGATTTAGTGAAACAGCTTGTGTAATATGTTGGCCTGAGTCAGAGATGGCTCATAGATGTGAGGGAATACAACAAATCCAGATATAAAAAAGACTCCTATATCTATCTATGAATATATATATATATATTATAACTATAATATATATTATTATATATATATACACAATAAATATATATAATAAATATATATAATAATAATATATCATATATATATATATATATATATACTATTTTATTAGAAACTTTATAAAATGTTTATTAGAAACTTTATAAAATGTTTATTAGAAACTTTATAAAATGTTTATTAGAAACTTTATATATATAACGTTTCTAATAAACATTTGATTTAAAGATACATAAATAATGAAAATCATCACTCACCGAGTGGTTTTCCATTGTTGTTACTTTTTCGTCCAAGTTGTCTCAGTGAGTTGCGTCCACATGATAGAACGCCTCCTTCTGCGGTCATGAGGAGAGTGTGCTGCTCTCCGCAGCAGATGGTGGCGATAACCCCGGGCACGGTCCAGGTCACCGGCCTAAATGCTGCCTGTGGACCGAACTGTCCACAGGAGCTGTCTCCCCAGCAGGACACCTCCATGGCTGCACCAGAATAAGGTCAGCATCCCGGACCGCTGCATTTAACAGCTCATGCTGCCTTAACATGTCGTCGGACATAAGAAACTCGATTTGCTAATTGCACTGGAAACCTTTTAACCAGCGACTGCAGCATATTCAAAAAGTGAAAAATAACTCACTCTGTAATCAAACGTATTGCTGTGGTAGTATACTAGCACAAATCAAGTGTATTGCTACTGTTTTAGATGCAACAAATGCACCAAAACTGAAGACACTTTTATTTACGAGTTTACCATGGCACGTAAAGGCAGCAAATCACAGCTGATTGGTCTCCAAGTCTAGGATTCACCACGAACTTTTCTAAAATATTTCATATGGGAATGATGGAGTTGAATATTCTTGAATATTTTTTTTGTAAGTGTCAAGTACTTCTTCTGAAATAATGCAAACTTGAGTCCCCCTGAGAAAATATGCTGTCAAAAACCTATAATAATCAGCAATAATCATCAATGCATTATAAAGAATGTGTGTGTCACAGCGGTGTAGTCAAGTTGGGATTTTTTATTTGTCTCCATGTGGTCTTGTCATTTCCTGTTTTATTTTGATAGGTAGTCCTCCTCTTATTTCATGTCACCAATTTTAGAAGGACCAATATTTTGAAAATATCCAGACAGCATTAAAAAAATTCTGTTTTCTGTAGGTGTGTCAAAATATTTGTCAATTTCTCTTGTGCTATCAGTGAATTTTCCCCACAAATATTTTTGATGGAAGCATGGCGATTGCTTTAAAGACCTCTATGTATATGCAGTATATGTAAAGCCCACAGAGGCCTGATTTCCCTGTATAAAGCATTAATAAATATAGATGTGAATTAGCACAGTAAGATGGAATATATGCTACTTACTTTACTGTACTAAACACAGATATATGGAAGAAAGGATAGCTTATCCTAAATTATCACTAAATATACAACAAATGCAATCTGCTACATTGCTCACCTATTTATGCATACAGACTGGGCTTATGTGGAGGTATTATTGGGGTTTTTTTGGTCCCTCTTAAAATCAGGTACAACATGGATACAGTTCACACTTTCTCTGGATTCTGCTGGCAAAATACATATTTGTTGTGTAATGATACCAACTGTTACACAAGTCATTGTCATAACCAGGCCTGTTGTTGCATCGGCGTGGACCCCTTTATAACCAGACGGGGTTATATTCCCTGTGGATGTCTCTCACTGTGGTGCTCTCACTGAAACATTAAATTTGCAAAGCTATGGGAGGTTTTTACATGAGAAGTCTCTGGTTTTCCCATCTGCAATATGTAGAACCGCTCAATTTCTTGAAAATCGATGAAATGTAAACGCCCATGAATGTCAACAGCAGTATGCTTGTAGTAAACTACTGTGCTGTTGGTTATGGTGGTACTGAGCGATGATGCTATAATCTTTCAGTATAGTCAGACTTTAATTGTTTATTTAAGCATGTAGCACAATGAAATGTTTAGGAGACACTTTGGTTACCCTGAATGAGGATAGAACATAAATTTACATTTGCTTTATTGGGAAACTAATTCTAACATGATAAAAAAAACATGATCATTTCATATTAATCGGGCATTTTCACATTTAGAAAGAAATAGACATAAAGACAGAGATACAGATTGTTGTATCAGTAATAAAGGGGTAATACATCGTCTGTATACAACGTACATAAATGTATCATTCATTCAGCATGTTAAGAAATGACTTATTTTTTGCAGTGTGACAATAATCACGTATCAAAATATTTCTTGCATCAGTATATGAGGCTCATGTACCTCTGGGCTACCGTACTCATGCACACATTGCTCTTTGAAAATACAACTCTAAATATTTTTCAGGAGTTCAGCTCTTAACCGGGGTAAGATTAAAAACCTTATGGCCATTTAACATTAGCTTTGGCCAGAGGAAACCAGCTGATTGGTGCTCTATCAAAGGGGCATTGTGTCTGCTGAGCTCTAAAATTCTCCTTGTCCCTAAAGAAGCCGTCTTCATTAGTAATTCCATCTGTAACAGAATACACACCCACAGACCCATCCACAAAGCCCACAAAGACGCTCTGCCGCTCACTCATAACCAGAGTGGATGGATTCTTAAACAGACACACGCTTCCTATTCTCTCCCCATCTGAAAGGCGTGTCACGGTGAGGACGGGCCCCCCGTGCAGGGAACAGGAACAGGCTTTTCCTACGGTGGTGGGCTGGGATATGTGTGCAACATAGCATCCGGATTTGTCAAGGCAGGCTTGGATGACAGAACCCCCAGCTTTGTATGAGCACAATCTGACCCGCGACAGGTCTAGGAGGTTGATGGAGTCGTTATCTGTGGACAGGAGCGCGTGGCTCCCCCGAGAGGACATTTGGAAGCGTTGTGGCTGACAGTGAAATAAATGTGGCAGGTGGAAGTGCCGGCACACTGTCTCCTCCGTCAGCTTCCAGGTGTAAAAAGCCCCCGAGGCGGTCATCACGACCACGAAGTTTGGGTGCTCTGAGAGCGCTTGGAAAGCGGTGACGCGCTCGGAGCTCGCCGCGCTGGAGAAACGCTTGCTGACCGAGCCCGACCACAGGCTGGCGGCCAGCAGGTCCCCCCCACGAAGGCCGAGGAGGAACGTGCTCTCGGGGGACACCTGAGCGTCCGCCAGGTACAGGTGTATGCTGCACACCACGCCTCCGTGCGCCATTTTCCAAACACGGGAGAGGCCTTTTTGAGAAACGCTCACTCCAAAATGAGCATTTCTGGTAATCAAGATATCTGTAGCCCTGCTGCCAGCGATGCGTAGGACATTCTGACCCGTTTCCGTCAGCCATGTGTAAATGTCCCCGTCTGAGAGTGTCACGAGATGGACACCGTCTGGAGACAGCTGCAGTTTTTCCACAGGGCCGTCGTGGAAGAAGCAGGCCTCTGGAAGTCCTGTATAATAACTCCACCTCCACACTTTGTCTGAATGGTCTGATGTGAAAAATGACATCTCTGTGTGGTCAACCACCACCTGTTCGACTTGCTGTCTCATTCTGGGAGCCGTCCCTGCAGCATCTATCATCTCAGAGTCCCACGCTGTCAAGCAGCCGTCGCGACCGACGCACACGATGTCCGAGGCTGTTTTGAGGAGTGTGTGGGGCTGCTTGTTTGTTTCTAAGGAGAGGACACACTGCCCCGTGCTCACCCTCCATGCCAAGACAAGGGGACAGGTGTCCAGTAAGGCCAGGAAGAGGTGTCCGTCCACAGTGAGCAGGGCCTGAGTGAAGGCTCTACCAGGCGGTGCCGAGAACCGCTCCCACAGTTCCCAGTCGCTCGTGTCCCACAGCGCCACCTGGTGGGCCCGACACACCAAAAGAGTCTTGATTTGGTCTGAGTAATCAGTGCTGAGGATGGTTTCAGATTGACCCTCACTGAGGTGCTCTTTAACAAGTCTGGGCAGTTTTGTTTTGCCGGAATGATCCCATAAGGCCAAGCTCCCGGTCCTGTCGAAACAAGCCACCCCCCCATTGTCTTCACAGGAAATGATCCGTATAATCGCACTGTGTCTTGAATTAGTAAAAGTTCCTAGCAAGTGTTGGGCTTTGATATCAAACATAGACACGCTTCCATCCTCCTGCCCACAGTACATCCAGAGGCCATCAGAGGAGAGGGCCAGACCGGTCACACAGCTCTCGCACTGGAAATTAGTCAAACTTTCGCCGGCCATGTCAAATACACTGACGAAGCTCTCACTTTTCCACCATATACTTAACTTTTTCTTACACGCAACAAATCCTTCAACTCTCTTTGGCGTGTGGCATGTCGTGAGTTCGGTTTTGAGTGGGTCTCGGATCTCCACCAGCCTGTCTGGGCCTGTCAAATCCCACACGAAAAGCCTGGTGCATTGTGCTGACAGCAGCAGGAAGTGGCTGCTGCTCTTCACTCCTTCAAACTTCAGCTCCGTCTGCTCAGGGCTGACTGACAGTTTGGACACCTCACACCCAGAGCCTTTCCAAATGGAAACAGAACCATCGGCCATGACCTCCGCTACAACCCCGCAGTGTGTACCAGCAGTTTCCACTACACAAACCTCCCCGGTTTTGTCATTGCTCTTTAAATGCCAAATCGGGGGCACTGAATGTGCAAATGGGGAAAAAACAACTCCTAATCCTGTTCCATTCTCAGTGCTTTGCTGTCTAATGTCTCTGATATAACCCTCGAGGGCAGGGAAGACCTCTAGGAAGGGAAGAAGGCTTGTCTCCATCACCGTGGGAAGCTGCAGGGGGGAACCCTCCAGGAAGCAGGCAGAGGATTTCAACGTGCTTGCCAGGAGAAACTTTTCTCTGACCAACCCGAACGAGCCCAGATCTCTCTCCAACATGCCAACCAGATCTCCCAGAAAACCAGCTTGGACCATAGCCCAGTGAAATCCAAAAGACATTAACACACGCTCCAGCTCCTCTAACCTGCCACCGTGCTGTAGGTGATGAGGCAGCTCCAGCACTTTCCTGACGTTCATCCGGCCCCCAGCGTTGGAAGACGAGCAGAGGAATGTTTCAATGTAGGGCGGCCTGTCTCTGCCAGGCGAGTCGCTTCGGATACTAAAATAGTCTGCCATCTTGGAGTGAATCCTCCTCCTTACCTGGTGAGTGTCCAGGTATCTCTTTGCTGTGACTAGCTCAAAGTGCCTGCTCACCCAAAACAAAACCTGTGAACCTGCAACTGTTCTTTTCACAAGGAAGCTCTTCAGATCCAAAAGGACTCTCTCCACATCCACTTGCAGGGTCTTTGTTTTAGAGGCTGAGGCCCCGCTGTGACAAACGTGCTCGGCTGGTTGGAGTTCATCACTCGAGAGCAGATCCCCGAGCTCCGCCTCGGAGAGCCCCGTCCTAGAAAGGGTGAGGTAGGAGGCAGCATGGGCCACGACAGAGAGGCCATGTTTCTGCTGTAGGTGATCCAGGAGCACACCTATGGATGAGTGAACGGAATCAGGGAGAGAAGACTCTGTCACATCTGAATCTGATGGATCAAAAGAGACAAGAAGAGACATTTAAGAATAAGTTGATACAAGTCTTGACACAAAGAACTTTCCCCCGTGTTTCTTCTATATAATCACATATATTATCATGGAAATCAATAGAGATTTTTGGGATGGATTTCTTAATTCATGAAACATTTGGTAAGGAATGTCCTGTTTGAATAAGCATTGTGTCACTATTTATATGTCACTATTCTGTAATGTGGAGCATGAATGGTCTCTTTAAAATAATTGGAAAAAAGTCCAATGGGAAGATCGGCCTGGTTTGGAGGATACTCAGAAATAAAAAACTGAGGTTTCTACCGTTATTAAAAGAGCTTGAACCAACTAATCGATGAGTTTGAACACTTTAGGGAAGTTTGAGTTCAATATCAAAAACATTTTTGAAAACAATTCATTTAAGAACCCTTTGGAAAAGAGAAGATTTGAACAACATAAAGACATTTTGTGTTTTTCAGTTCTAAAATGACTCCACTACAACGAGCCCTGTCTTTGGTTTTTGGTGTCAGTCGTACCAGAGCGCCACAGCGAGGTGTGTTTGTGCAGGAGACGGGCGTATAGAGGCAGAGGGCAGGCGGTCAGGGCCCGGTTGACCAGTGCCTGTTGTCCTGACGTCACCCTCCTCCCCGTGGCTCTCAGCAGTGATGCCAACATTTGCGCGCACTCTTTCCTGTCCACCGGTCCCAGCTGCACACACACACACCCTGACTCTGATACGCAGAGAGGCAGACGGCCTACTGGGTAATGTAGTTTGATGGCTTGCAGGAGCCGCGTTCTGTTTGAAGAAACTGTCAGGATGAGCTTGACGCTGGGTGGGAGGGGGGAGGGTAAGTTCCTGATCACCTGAACACCAAATTTGTTTTCAAGTGTATCCAAACCATCTAAGATAAGAACGAGAGGCTGTTGACTGGAGGGGAGGAGAGTGAGTATGGATGCAAGGTGGTTTCTCAGTTCTGATAGAGAAATGTCAACTTTGATACCAGAATCAGGTTCCCTTTTAAGTGGACATGGTATTGGGATCCGGTTGAAGTTATCATTTTGGGTGCTGCTTTCATGGGGAGCATCTAGAACAGATGTTGGGCTGCAGCTGGGATCATCTGGGACCCTGCTGAGGCAAATGTCGGGATGCTGCTCAGAGGAGGTCAGCGTGTCGTATCTGTGGGCAACTTGAGAGCACAGGTTGGACAGCAGGCGCTTTGGAGACGGATCGATTAACAGACTGCAAAAATAAGTGATCACCACAGGACTGCTTTCTGCCAGCCAAGACTTCATCTGCAAGAGAGAATGCAGAGAGTGCTTTTTTAATGCAATCAACATCTTGTAGATAGTTTTCCATCAAAAACAAAGAAACACACTAGATTTGATTAATTGCTTATTATGTTTATCTATACAACAATTATAATAATTCAAATGAAAGTTTCAGTTTTATTGTTTTTTGGTGTTACAAGTAAAAAATAAATAGCATGTTTTCACATGTATAATGTTTTTTAAATCAGTAAACCTACCATCTTAGCACAGTGTGCTGCCAACACTGTCTTCCCAGTGCAAGGGCCCCCTGTCACCACAAAAGGGCCCCGCTGGTCTCTCTGCTCCACATAGGCTCTGACCTACAACCAACAGAGTGAAATCAAGGCTCTTGCTGTTACATTTGGTGTCAAGTTATCCGGGAAGCTTCACATAACAAATAGGAATATACTAATGTTGAGCTTAAACAGTCAGACATAAGACAAATGTTTTCCATCAATAGTATCTTACAAGTACAAAAAAACTAAAAACAAGCATCCACATCTACACCGTAGACAGTTCATTTTAATACCGTTTTTTTTTTAAACATACAGGGAAAAAAAAAACTCTGACCTGTTCCTCTGCAGGCTGAGCGACATCATATAACTGAGAAAAGATGTTGCACAGCTGCTCTTGCTCAGCTTGCTCTTGTGATAAAGCATCACTAATGGGAGTATGTCTGGTGGGCTCGGGGCTGTTTCCCCTGTTGGTCAACAGCACCAGATCTGAGAGCACTTGCTGGCACAGAGAGACGGCGTAGCTCCGCCTCCTGGCGGTGGTGTAACCGTGACGGGGGTCGCACTCAGTCGTGGTGGTGTAGAGCAGAAGCTGGCGGGACATCACAAGGCCCGGGAGAAAGCCGTTACACAGCTCTGATAACAAATCACCATGGGTGGGTGCTCCGCTCCCAGTGGTCTGATCAGACGTCTCAGCCTAATAACACAGAACAGAAAAATGAAAGACTTCAGCTGTTGCTGATTATTAGGTTTACTGATTCTTGTTAGCCAAAAAACATATTTTTGCGATGATGGTTGATGTTCCAGAGACATCCTCCATTCCAGTATGTTTGGTAAGAATAATTTCTTCTTTTAATTAAAAAAGAAAGTTGATCAGAGGCCTTACGACAAACAATTGCATAGTTATTACCTCTGGATTTGTCTGCGGCTGCAAATCAAAGTCTTTCGTTCCTGTGTCTTTTTTAGCATTGAGGACCTTGTGGACATACACCACGCAGCGGCTGGCCACTCCCTCAACGGAACACTTTTCCAGAGCAAACCTCAGATCTGCATCAAGGGCTGGAAATAAAGAACAAATCAGAGATTACAATCATACTCAAACAGGTTGCACCCCTTTAAAGCCCTCAGACATACTCGGGTTGTGTAGAGTAACTGGAAGATGCCTTGGAAGTACTTTTTATACTTCAGAACTGAAAAAGCTTTTTGAAATGTCTTCAAGAACCAAGAAGAAGTCCAGTCGCCTGTACTTACTTTTTTAGTATATACTGTATACAGTAAAGTCTAGTGAAAAAATGTCTGGATTCTTAAGATCTTCACAATCTGATTTTGGATCAGTAACAATCTATGAAAATACAATCATGGTAGTAAGAACTAACTCCACCCAGAGACAAAACATTTGCCTCACCTGATCTGTTAAGACTCTGGGCTCTCTCTGGGGACATAAGCCCACTGAGGACACACAGACTCACAGCAGCCTGAAACACTTTCAGCGGCTGTTCTTTGTCCTTTGTGTTGCTGTCCTCTGCCTGTTCTTTTTGGTCCTGTAAGTTAAAAGTTAAAGTACTTCTTAGAGGAATGTTAACCATGTAACTTTTATTCAAAATAAATCACATAAACATTAAACTATCACATATAATTCAACCATAAAAAACTATTGAAAAGCCTGCTCTTGCTCATTAACCATAATTCATGTCCTATAAAGTAGAGTGGACAGTGAACGGGGAGATCCCTGGTTCTCACCAGAGGACTGCAGTGCTCTCTGTGTGGAGGTTTGAGGCAGTAGGAGGCAGGGATGGTGTTCTCGTCCCGCCGGTACAGCCTCTCCAGCTCCTGGGTGCTGCCGCCCTGCCGCTGGCTCTGCTCTAGCAGCAGCTGGAACTCTGACACCTCCACCCGGGGGGGCAGAGCCACCGTGCCATACTGGTGTCCTACCAGGGCCTGCAGCACCACCGTGTGGACACGGATAGATAGAGGCGGAATGGTCAGCACTGGCAGTGCTCGTGCAGGTTTCAATACGTCTTCCAGACGGGTTTCAAGATGGGGGTTTATTTACCAGTAAAAAAGGTCCAGCTGAGTTTTGCCTGCATTCCTCTATCAGCTGCTGTCTGGTGTTTTCATCTGGCCAACGACTGGAGTCGCTGGACTCAAAAGGGTCGATCACCTGCACAAGCACACACCATTTGAGCTACAACAATCTAGAGGAGCGATTACTGGGTATCCTGTGGTGATTCAGCACATCCATGCATGAGTAAAAACTAACAGAACAACACACAATGCAGTCGCCTGACAGCTGCTCATCCTTTGTTTTCAAATCCTGTTCAGCAAAACTGAGTAGAATTCACTGCGCCTTTACCAGAGATTCACAGGTCACACACACACATCCAGTACATCAATGAGGTCTTGTACCAAAACCTCCATTTTTCTTTTTACTTCTTATTTATCTTCCTCTATCTAAATAAACCACTTCTCCAAGTTTCAAACCAGTGACGTGTAGATAAATGCTCCTCTTGTTAAAGAAGTTTAAAGCATTAGTTTTCTTGGACTAAAGTCATAGCAACTTCATCTACCTTGAGGCAGTTTATGATGGCAAAAGGTAGATCTAGAAAAAGGTAGATTCCTGCAATGCTATCCCCAAACACACACACATCTAAAGCACACCAGATGAGTATTCAGTGGTTGAATGCGTACTCACCCTGACGTCCAACCCCAGTGTGTGCCTGCAGTGCTCTCTAAACTTGGGGAACACATTCTCTCTGAGAGCTCTACGCTCATGTAGGCTGTCTGTGCAGAACAGAAAAAACAAAACAGGATAAATAACCAGAAAGCAGCTCAAACAGCAGGATAAAATAATCTTACACTAACTTTTTTTTTACTCCGTTTGGTATTTTCACCATATCTGCTACTTTGCCCTCATTAGTTAATAGTGTACTGTACCGTCTGGGTTGGAGCACAGATAGATTTTCACACAGGATGAGCTGCAGCCGGAATGTGAAGGCGAACACTCTTTTCCGTTGGAGTACATATCAAACAAACAGCTACTGGCAATTTGAGAAAAAATGACGGAGGAAAACTTTTAACATACTGAGCAACTGAGACCGAGTACACAGCTTCTCCTCTGCTGGTGTTCCTCTCAGGAAACTCTGGCCTCAGGCTGTTTATACATTGTGTTATTATGATCACACCCACTTCTAGTTACTGGAACATCAGCGAAACACACACACACTTCCATCGCACAATTCGTAGTTATGTATGTTTACTAAAAAGGAACATATTCATGAAAAAATACAAGATCGCCACAACAAAGAGGCAGACAGGCGGGTTTTTGAATTTTTTTAATTAACATTTGTACACAATAAATACAAATTTTCTTTTTGTACAGCCAATAATAATATGCTGAAAGACTTTTGCACCTGTTCTCATTGTTACCATGGCAACAGTCTGTGAGGAGAGAGACCAGTTGTTCCACTACATCGTTCATAATGGCAGCTACGCTGCATGAAAAATGCAGAATCATAGAAAACGTAAAAACCAAAACACCAAATAATTAAACACTGCAATGGACCAGAGGCAATTGAAAAGAAAAAAATGACTTGTTCGAAGTGGCAACTGTATTTATATTTTTAAAAAAAGGTTGACAAAAAGTGACAAAAAGATGGATTCTGTGGACCATGTTCCAAAAATTCGACCTTCAACAAGTTTAAAAAAATACATCAAATACCATGTCAAAAAGACAGAGGAGAGGCTGCTAGTTCCTGCAGCAGCAGAGCAGGTGAGGTGTGCATCCAAAAGGGTAACTACTTCCAACATGCTGAGTTTTTTGCAAAGGTGGGAGCAGCACAAAAGTCTCTGCTTAGCAAAGAGGAAACCAATTCATTTGAACCCAGATCAAGTCTTTTCTCAATTCTAATACTAAACAATAGCATATTGTTTTCATCTTTATACTTACAATACACTTTACTTAAGTTGTATAATGAGGATACTGGTGTTGGGACACTGACTGAAAGCATGTTTTACAGAGAGTGTCCCAGAGAGTTCTTTTGGCGTTCTTCTTGAGATAAGCTTATGTTGCTTTGTTCGACTTCCCAACATTAAAATAAAAACAAATTTGGTATCTGTACAGAGAGCTAGAAGTGTACTTTTTGGGAGATTTAGTCAGCGTTTGCATTCTCTGTTTGGAACGCAGTAAAGAACTAGACAGCCACGGGGTTAAACAGGGGACTGGATTAAAACTCTCTCTCGTAAACAATCACACGCTCAAAGAAACAGGCAGACAAAATGAAAAATAGTTCAAATAAAAATAATAGACCACACTCTCTCCATGACTTCATTCAAAACATCCTTCTTTTGTAAGTTCTTTTAGATTGTATCTATTGAGGGAACAGCAGACGACAGCAGACGACAGCATCCACAGTCGTTAGCTGTTTTTTTCCCCCTTTTAAAACATCAGTCACACTTAAATAGTGTCCATGTAGTCAATACGAAGACAAGAAAAACTGCTGCCTGCAATTGTAGCAACTGTTTCTCATCTTTCTTCTCAAACCATGTGGATACAAGGTGAGGGCAATGCTACTTTCCAGGGTAGGTACAAATAAATAAAAGTGCTACGCTGCCTTCTAGGCAAGGTGTATTAAAGGCTTGAAGTGTACATGAGAGGGAGAATAAAACTAAAAAATGTTTTGAAAAAACAAAAGAATTCTACTTAGCTGCATTTAGAATAAAACTGAAAGGGATGCAGGTCAATTAACAAGGATATGCATATTAGCTGAAATGAACAAGGTTATAAGTGAACAGACTCAACATGAGAGGAGATATAATGGTTCAGGATTAACTGTTCACCCTATGGCAAAATGACTTTCATCGTCAGTATAATTTTAAATGAAAGATTTCTGTCGCCGCATAGTGATTACCAACTGTTTCAGTGCCTTTGAAAAGTAGTGGCCTTCCTGAATCCATGATCCAAACACAAAGTGAACAAAATGAGAGAAGATATAATATGTGTGTGTTCTGCTGTAATATAATGTGAACGTGTGTGTGTGTGTGTGGATATTATAGCCACTGATTCACACTGACTGCCCATGGACTGAACAAACATCAGAGACATAAAGGAGGGAGGTGAAGAGAGGTGAAGCCAAGAGCAGAGGGAAGGATCCAGCCTCCTTTGACTCTTGTTTCTTTTCCGTCCTCTCCCCTTCTTCTCTCCTTTCATAGACCCTTCTTGCTGTATATACAATTCCCTTTCAATACAAGATGAAGATAAAACTTCCACTACATAGCATAGCAGACAGGTTATTCCATTCAGCTGAGAGTCTATATGAAACGCTGTGCATAAACATTCCTATGACGACAGTAATGTACTGTACTAATACACATTAATTACGTATGATAATGACCATATATGGCGAGGAAAGGGCTGGGGAGGGGACACTGCGTCCACACACGCCACCAAGTCTCTCTGCCCATATACTTCAGCCTCCCATTGCACCCCAAAACGTGACTTACTTGGCAAGTTTTTTTTTCCTTCCTCGTTCCCTGTTATTAGTCCTCATTTTTATGGAGCCTCCACACATAAAACAGAGCAAAAGGCGACTTAAAGATAAAACCAAAGTGATCTTCATGATTTCTTTATCTGTTGCTAGCTCTGTTTAGCGTGATCCACCCTGTTTCTTTCTCACCTGAGTGATTCTAAGATCACTCATCTTCACATACGGACATAATAAGCTCACAGATCGCTTTACCGAAAAGTGGATTCACAGGTGATATTTGTGAAAACAGGTTTATGTTGTTGCATTTTTTTTACCTTGCTCTGAGAACCTTTTACTACATTTCATCCATTTGAGGCTCCAAATATTTTTCTCATACAGCATCAATATTTGCTATTAAAAGTGTGAGAAAAAGGGAAACAGAAATTAAGTAGAAAAGACGAGTTGTGTCACTTATGTCGACGTAAGCTTAATAAGACAAAAATAAAACTTGCCAAATCCATCATCGACTGTTCCTCACAGTCCTTCTCAAAAACATTCTTCTTCGTCTTCACCCTGCTCTGCTTTGCTGCCCAATGAGGTGAGGTTTTAAGGCCAGAGTGTAAGGACCAGGGAGGGTAATGAGGGAGGTGGGGAACGGCTACTGCTGCACTTCATCAGGAAGCTAATACAGAGATTATTTAAGTAGGTACTCCGGCTTTTTCCCGTCCCTCTGCTCTCCTCCTCGACTCGAAAAGGAGAGGAGATGTGGAGCGGCTGGAAGGGGTCGACGTGGTTCAGTTCAGTTTACGTCACATCGCTTTATTTTTGCTCGCTTCACTTCGGAGCAGTTCAGTCCCCCCTGCCTGTGGGTGTTGTCTTTCATCGGGTTTCAGCTTTTGTGCGCGTGTTACCACTTGTTGGCTTGCATTTCTGTCACACAAGCGTGATCTCCACCTCCTCTGTCTTGTCGCTCTTCTCCTGCTGACGACGCGAATGTTGTTTGGGTGGAGGAGGAGCGGCTCGCACCTGTATCAGACCATCAAACACACTCAATTTCAGTCAGTGAGAGGAGCAGAAGGAATGAAAACTAAAATCAAGTCAGAAACAGAGCATAACGTTAAGCCCCTGATTTGGGACGCAGGCTTTGGTCAGCGATAATGTCCCAAACCCAGAGAATAACACACAATGACCAGATAGTTTCCTGTTCCTTCTCTGTATCGCCATTGAAATGCATTCACAATTTGCAACAGTAAAATCGACTTTGCTGCAAATTCTAAAAACAGATTTTGTTGGCAAAACTGAAATAGTGAAAACATTGCTGCTCCTATGTCATTAAAGACTTATGATGAATTCAGCATTAACAACATCACAACGTTTTGAGTGGCTTTGATACTGACGGGTCTTAGTTTGCCAGGACCTCCTTCAGGAGTGAATCGTAGGGGCTGAGTCGGAGTAAATCCTTGAGACACCGGACTCCTGCTGGAGCTTTGATCTACAGAGAGAGAGAGAAAAACTTCCTATAAAAGCAACAAAGACCTCTTTCACTTTATGTGGTAATTGACAGAATATGCTGTTTATGTCTTACTATGAGAGGGCAGCTGTCCTTTGTGAGTGGGGGCCGGCAGGGGAAGTTTATGCTCGCCATTAAGAGCGGCGGAGGGCGAGCGTGGCAGAGGGGGGGGTGTCGAGGTCTCTGGGCTTGTGAAAGGGCTGATAGGAGGCTGGTCATACAGAGGAAGCGGCGGCAGAGATGCTGGCAGCTTTAAAGATGGAGAGATCTGCAGAAAGATAAAGAACGTTTTTACATACCTTATAAATCAAACTTACTTTATGACATCCTCCTATTGGTAGGATGACTCATTTTAAAGAGGTTAGAGGAAGAGCATTGAAAGTCAAAATGAAGGGAGTACTTTCTAAACACAACTTCTGATTCATAAACCAACAAAATGAGCTAAACGTCTCCACTTGACACTTAAAAGATGCTGAATGGTGCTGTGCTCTGTGTTTTGCCCACAGGGGCTTTAGGAAGGGAGAGGCGGTATCCTTCCTGTTGCTAAATGCAGTATTAGGGCACCACTCAGAACCACAGATAAGACCCTTTTTTCTGTGATTGCAGCGGTTTTTATCAGCATGAGGCAGGAACATGGCTGTTGCGATCTGCTGTTTGGGAACTCGGCCCCTGCTGATAGATCTGCTGGACAACAGACAGGAAGGGAGGGGAGTCGCGGTATGAAGTGGCACAGCAGACTTTGCTCCAGTCTTGGAATTTCTGCCCTGAGGAAATACTGATAAGACTGAGTGCGTAGCCCCGGTTAGGGGCTGCCTGACTGACAACGAAGAAGCTTGTCTCAATCTCAAATCTGTTTTTGGTTTTCTTCTGAGAATACCACACACAATCGTAATATCTGTGTGTTAGCTGTGCAACAGGTGTGACTGTACCTGGGTATCGCCCGTCCCTCCGCCGCTGGTCTCCCCGTTCTCGGTGAGGTCTTCTACCAGCACGGAGGGGAAAACGCCCACTCGTCCGTTTAGCTCTCCCTCCCAGAAGCCGTCGTCTGTCTGAGTGTCGCGGTTTAGCAGGCGGATCACAGCTCCCTCAGAGAAGGAGAGCTCTTCATCTGCCTGGCCCTCGTAATCATAAAGTGCTCGGACAAACACGGCTGCGGTGGAGAGGGTGGAGAGGAATAATCACATTTTCAGCAGTGTACCATGTCTGCTTTGGCCTTGTTGGCATGAAAGTGGTCCAAAAATATGGGTAGAAAAAAAAACATGAGAAGACTAAATTGAGTGGAAGGAGATGGAAAGTGAGAAAACAAGAGAAAATGCAGCTCAAGATTATCTCTGCAGTGGAGATGACGAGACCATAAACTAATGCTGCCTTTCTTTGTCATTTTCTTATGAAGTAAAACTTTTTAAAGGTTATCTTTTTGGAATGATAAATTCAGATGTCATTCTCAGTATGAGCCAAATAACTGCTGCCCAGTTGGGCTGGTCAGCATTCCTCAGAATAAATCATTTTTAAAAGGCAGCCATGAATTCAAACTCCAGGCTTCTGTCCAGCCACTTCATTTGCTTCAAAATGAAGATATGATTTGTTTCAATGTTGGCTGTAAGTAGGATTTTAACATCCAAATTGTCCATTTGGATACAACCTTTCATTTTGCAGATATCCTAAAGTCCAAATCATGCGCATTTCATAAAACATTAACCACTGTAAATGAGAGCAAATTACATCCGCACACATATTACCCTCACACACTCTGGTTTCTGTGTCAGGAATCTCTGGAATAACAGCAACAACTTTTCTTTTACCATACTTGTGTTGTCAGGTTGTTTTAGTATTTTATTTTACCTTGATTTATCCATCAAGGGGAGAGACCCACGTTTCCATTTTTTCATATCTTTCTATTAGGCTACATCTGTATACGACTCAAGTGGAGCTGACTCCCTCAGGTCCACATAATGACTTTGCTATGGGGGGAAATCAACCCAAATTAGAACTAATAAAACTGGAACTAATTTCTTTGGCTGAGACTCAGTTTAATCATTACAAAGAGCACCTCATTGTTATCAGGCTTCCAGAATGCTTACTGTTCGTGTCTCCGTTGATGCAGCCAGAGTGCAGCTCCGGCTCAGTGGAATTGGATGATGTGTGGGATCGAGCGTCCAGCGTGGCCAGAGACTGGAGCATGCTCAGCAGGCTGTTGGAAGTGGGAAACTGCAGGTATTTCTCCGGGACGTAGCCCACTTGGCCTGTCTTGTTGCGTGCCTGGGAGAAAAAAACGAACACGGAGAAAGCAAGTAAACCCAAACAGTGCAGGCAGGAGAGCCGGTCAGCTAAAAAGCGTTTCAAATGCAGACGGTTTGCATATCTATGCAACTAGTTGTGTTTGTTTTAGCACCTTGACCCAGTCCTCCATGTCTCCATCCTCGATAACCTCCAACATTTCTTGCTCATCTATAGTTAACTCATCTGGCTGTGATGCCTGCGAAGGGGAGAGAAAGCAAAACGGGAAAAAGTGAAGAATAAGCTAGCTGTCTTCTTTAAATTTTCATGAGCACAATAACAAATTCATAAATGTTTCATAGCTGTTGACTTTTCCCTGTGCACACACAGACGGTGAGTGCCGAAGGTGTTGTTCACCTGGAAGCAGAGTGTGTATGTTGCTTTATACCTTGTACGAGTAGAGCACTTTACAGGTCAGCGGGTAGTTGCGGAGGGTCCCCGAGGGACTGGAACTGCTGTCGTCAAAGACCTCCATATTTTCCTCACACTCTTCACACTCCTCTCGCTCCAAGTCCACGGTACCCTTTTGACACACAGCAGCGAGATGAAATCAAAACCTCGGATGAGTGTGTGGAGGAAGATGAAGATCCCCGCTCGGCTTTAAAGGTAAAGGGTAAAGAAAAAGCTTTTTGCTCTAGATCAAATGTGCAGAATTTACTTAAAAGAATCGCATGAAAAGTAGAGCAGTCACCAAATAATTACAACAGTCCTGCTGTGTTTTTACAGGATAACATCCTTCAGGGTTAGCGTTTTTAAATGAGCTTGTAAATGATGACTGCTCACCTTTTGTAGCTGTTCTGCGTCTGCTCTGTAGCTTTTAAAAACAGTTGTAAAGGCACCAATGTCTCAGGTGATGTGGTCCCTCCCTCTTTTGTTACATGAGAATTCACTGGATTATATGAACGTCATGTGATCCAGCTGATGGAAAAATCCATCACACACAGAAATATGACCTGGTCAACAACAATAGTGCGTTCGTGTGTGAGAGTGTGCGTGTGCGTGTCTATTACAAGCTCATTGTGTTTAGTCATCAGATTTCTGTTGACAGAGCAAACTCTACTCCTGTAAAGAACCAAACATTTGTGTGTTTTGTATATTTCCCAAGTCTTCTTGGTTTGGAGATTACAATCAATCCTGGAGAGAAAAGCAGACCCTCAGGTGTGGTCTGAAGGCAGGCTTTGAGTGACAGGGCACATTGGTCAAAGGTCTAGTGTGGGAATGGTTGAGAGAAAAACCTGAAAAATGACACATACAAACTTGTTTTCTGTTTATTAGCAACAGCATAGTTATGCCTACCTATTAAACCAGATAAAACTAATCAGCTGGTTAAACATAAGCAACTCTTAAGACGAACAGCTGGAGGACTCTGATAATATTCTGCTTTTAAATCTCTAGAAAGAACAGTCTAGCCACACAGTTTCTATAAAAGGCATTTCTTTGGGAACCTTCGAGTTATGTTTGACCACGATATCTCCCTTGATACTTATATCAAAAAGGTGTCTGCTCTCTTTCACCTTGGCCACATTGCCAAATTTAGAGACATCCAGTCTCAAATAGATGCAGAAAAATTGGTGCATGCATTTAATACTTCAAGAACTGGAATTCTTTACAATTGGGCTGTCCCAAAAAAACTCTGAAAAGTGTTGAGCTGATCCGAAATGATTCGGGTAGATTTCTAATGAGAACCAGTAGTTGCTTTTGGCTTTGACTGGTCGGGGACTCCCATGAGGTAACTTTCCTAACTCCGTTCTTCATTTTCCTTTTTTCTATTATTAATATTGTTGCAAATCATTAATAACCCCCTTTCCTGTGTCCCAGCAGATTTCCTGTCCTCTCAAACTGCAGCTGGTCGAGGTGGATGGGCACTCACTCAGTTTGGTTCTGGCAGAAATGTCTTCCTATTAAAATGACATTTTCTTTTCTCTCCACAGGCAATTTTAAGCTAGGAATAAAGGAAAAGTTAAAGGTTCGTCTGTGTCACTCTTTACTATCAGGGGTAGCTTAAATGTTTCAGACAGAAACAAAGATGTATGTCTCAGAATGTATTAACAAATGAAGTGCTGTGGACTCTAACTGTTCTAGGAACAAGGCTTAGTGCTAATTTATGCCTCTTAGACGTGCCAAATGACTGTGCTGTGCTCCCCGTGCCAGTGAGAGAATTTGAGCTGTAAAGAGGCAATGATTTCAGACACCATCACGGAAGCATGACAGCGTGGAACGAGGGTATCAGGGTGATGGAGATGAAAAGATTCCTGTCTAGTTTCATATTCTGAGACATAATGGGAGGGTCATGTGTTTGGTCTGCTGGGTAACATTACTCTCATTCACTTTACAAGCGTGTTGGCGCTCTGTTTGGGAGGATACTTCAACCCGCTTCCTCAGAGAAAAATGTCCTTGTGTTTTATTAATAACACACCCAATACAATCAGAAAAAAGACGTTTCAGCGTGTGTATCAAAACAGTTGAGATGCAGACAAGTGGCAGATTGTATTGGTCTTGGTGGGTAATAACTGTGAAAGTGATATCTCATTGAAGGCAGTGGGTGCACCAGAGACCACACCAGAGTGTAGGTTGCAGTATTTCCTTCCTGTATTAATAAAGATGAGTGGAATGAAGAGGGAAATGAGTGGAGCAACTGCTCTCTGCTTTTATTGGTTTGAAAGCCCTCTTTGGCTGTTTATTATTCACAATTCCCTCTTTTTTTCATCCCTCTATTGGCGTGATCTTTTCTTAACCAGCCAACAGCCGTTAAAAGACTCCCAGAATATTCCCTCTGTTGCACCTTGTTAATGTTTATACTGGTCTCTTATGGACTCCAATATAAAATAAAGGGCTGCAGAACGTCTGTACGATGCGCCTCATGTGGCCTCTTCTTTTCAATGACACCTGCACCAGATCGAGAAGTTTCCATCAAGCGTCTTCATCTGATTTAGCTTCTAAATTAGGTAAGGAAAGAAGTGACTAAAGAAAATCTAAAAATGAATATTTAATGTAACGTGAAAGTCAACTTTGTCAGGGTTGGCGTGGAGGCTTGCCAATTTTTTCTGTCTCAATAAGTCATTTGTGTCTGTAAAATTCGAACATAACTGATTTTGTGGTCTGTTGTGCCTTTACAGCGTTCTGTGCTCTCTCTCTCTCTCTCTGTCTCTCTCTTTCCTTTCTCCCTCACCTCTCCATCCAGTTTTACCTTAGCATTATCCCTCTATTGTGTTCTCTCCTGAACGCTCCCTTTCTCCTCCAAACCACAGCGCTGCCCCTCTCCTCCCAGGCTGATCCCTCAGTAATTGTCTCTCCACCACTCCATCTTGCACAGTACAACTCCATCTATTATCCCTGCATCTTTCCATTTTTCTCCTGCAAGATCCCCCCCTCCCTTTTCATGTTTTCTCTCTTCTCCTCACCCTCGGTATCTCACCCTCTTCCTCTTCGGTGAAAGCTGCGAGCTGCAATATCATGTGAGCAGAATGTCAAGTGCCTCCAGTGGAGCAGAATATCTTTAGTCATCCTGACTGACAGACACATACGAGCCCTCACACTGAGGTTTTAATCGCCATACGTCCTTCTCTGTGAAGCTAATGTTCAACCAGACACAACCAAGGCAAAGACAAAGGATCCCCGATAGGACAAATGTAAGTTGTGCATGATTTAAGTTTGATGGGAGTTTTATAAAGTCCCATTTTTGGAAAAATATCACTTATTCTTGTCAGATTCTGTGATGTCCACATCAGATTCCACTGGGGAAGTGAGAGATTTTCAGTGGCAGTACAACAGTTGATAAAGCTGAAGCTGTGAGCCTAATTCTATTTCAAATCACATCATTCAGGAGTTGATTTACTAGGACAGCTATTACAGCTGAGTGGTTTTGGCATATAATGACATCTTAAAGATTAAAAAGAATATCAGGTTTAAATTCCTATTGTTAGTGGGAATCCTGTTGGGAAGATAACTTCAAGTAGAAGTGGAGATAATCATACTCTGTCATCATTAAGGGATCTGGTGGTTTTTTTAATGTTATGATGATAAAGCAGACCAATGTGCACGCGCACCAACGTGCACAGCACACAGACAGTTGTACAGTGACATGTTTCTTCTTTTATGGTGACGTATTGTTTGTAACTTTTAAGCCAAGTCACATACTGTAATTAGATGGTTAGAAGTTCAGAAATAGGTTCAGTAATGGTTTCGATTTAAATAATTTAAATCATAAAGTGAATATGAAACTCCAGCATGTCAGAAAGCTCCAACTTGTGACAGTTTGTACCGTGCAAAGGTTTGAACTAGAGTTGTGCTGTTTTATAACGTAGGTTTTAAGAGGCTACAAGATGTAATCTGGATATTAGCCATTTTGGTACAGCCCTTTCCTGCCTTATATTCTCAGTGGTTAATGAGCCTCTGTGTGACTAATAATAACCAAAGCTATTTACATCAAAGGCAGTAAGATCAAATGGTTTATTTATGTAGCTTTGTAGCTAGGCTAAGCTCATAAAGCTGTTGTAATGCCACACAAGATGGCTCTTTCTACTTTAGCAAATAATTAGTAGGGGGAAAAAACAACAGCACATAAGCGTACTTACCCACTTTTGGAGTTTTTACTGGTGAGAGCAACTAAACAAGTTATTTTTCTGGCTACTGCTATAAGCGTAAACCTGATTGTTTTCAGTGTTTGTGCAGTGGTTGTGTGGCTATCTTCCCCCACAAAGAAGATGGTGGTTCCCTGTCATCCACTGATTTCACATCTTATAAATAAACTTTTTGTTTTTGTGAGGGAAGATTCAGTTGTGCTGACTTGGCAAAAAAGCAGCAGCGCGGACACAGTGAGGGGAAGTGTCTCACCGACAGTGAGGGATCGTGGGAAGTGTAGCTGGCCCAGCGTTCATTCTCCAGCTCCTCCATCACCTAAAGCATGCACAGAGAAAGTGGGTGGTTTATACACACACACTACAAACAGACACACGCGCCACAACACACACATGCGCAGACTACTACACAAACTGGGACTTAATTTGTGATAACATATTTATACACCCAGCACCTCACACTTGTCTGCAGAAAAACGAGTCGGGCATGGAGCAGGCAGTGCTTCCAGACACACACACAAATGTGGAGCATGCATTTATCCACCTCGCACAGAAACCCAGACCTGGTTCATGGCGCTCTTCAGCCAAGTGTCCACGGCAACCCCCACTTGCCGCAGAAGGTCCAAGCGAGCCTCAGCCTTCAACTTTATTGTCTTTGGAGAAAGAATGGTTTAGGAATGTTAAAAAAAACATACATACGTCACTGTCCAAAACAGCTTTGATCATATCAATGTTTCTGTTTGTTTAAGCTTTAGGGCTTCATTTTTAAAAATTTTCCCACACATTAAAATAGATACATAAACATCTCCAATGCAGAAAGGGATCACAAAAAATGAATATTTGATATGAAGAGATCTGTATACGACAGCAAACATAAGCAACATTTACTAATCAAAACAGAGCTTAATTTTTAGGCCTGTTAATCGCAGAGGCATCCTTCCAGTGAAGCCTGTAAATTGAATTCACACTGATGATGAACGTGATAAATCCCTGCCATGCTGCGTCCTTTGCAATAAATCATTACTGTTGTATTTTCTTTGATAAGTTGTTATGATTGACTTGCACTGATATCTCACTTACTAAGAAGGTGTGATAAAAATATAATCATCAGTTTGGCAACTTTCTCTTTGGCCTAGCTTTCTCTTACTGCCTTTATCAACATTTTCCTTTTTTACCTGCTGATATCCTGCTTAATTTGTGCTTACAGAGCAGACTGATAGCTGATAGCTCCAACCCACCGGGGAATCGAGTCAGACTCCAATACTTCGATCAATAAAGACCTGTTTTCCTTAAGTGCCTCAGTTTTATTCCATTAGCAGCGCCACGTCAGATGTCAAATGGAAAGACCAACCTTGGCTGTCGCTGATGGACCATAAACTTACCAAACTCAAAGATGAAAAGTTTAAATTCTGGCATTTTTACTGCTAGAAAGTGCTCTTTAAAATAATGGTTGGAGGTACATCACTTAAGGTCAGAGGGAAAAACAGCCAGTGTTGAGCAGACAGCACAAACTCAGACAGTCCAGCTGAGCTGCTGTAAATCAATACAACCCAGAAGAAAAGGAAGACAGAGAGCTAGATGGAAGGCTGGGCAGGCAGAGAGATGTGTGAAAAAAGCTTCAAATTACTGCGAATTGCTAATTTGGATGATCCATAATGTGAAGAGACATAATGTAAGCAGCCACTTTTGTTTAGGAAGCTACACACAGTGCAGCTTTACTTCTTTATCTTGTTACTAAAAACGCAGACTGAGAAATAGTATTATTCACATCATCCAATGATGGTATATTAGCTCTAGATTTTAGAAACCACAAACTTTGCTACATGTGAACCATGTACAATTCTCCTCTGGTTATGGCAGAGCTGGTAAAAGGGTGAGCAAGGTGAGGATTTCGATCCATTTTTTCCAGTCTTATTAGGTTTGTATGCTTGCACTGAAATGAGTCCCGGGACCCGACCCAGTCCCTGCCTTAGTGTGGTGTGGAAATGAGGACAGATTGTCTGTAAGAGAGGCTGGAGACCGCATCTCACCATCTCGCCTGCTCTCACATCCTCATCCTCTCCCAGCTTCCAAAAGATAGAAAAGGAAGGCGCACTAAAGCCTCTCAAAGCAAAACAGCTAATTTTTGTTAGATTTAAACTTAAGAAATCATAAGACGAGAAAAAATATCTATAAGCATCGAGCTGCATATACTATTTAGAAAAAGTGCCTCCCAATAAAAAGAGATTTGTCTTATTCACGTCAAACAATACCAGAACATTGCTTTTTCTAGGATATCCAAATGAAATCTAAAATAGATGCCACGTACCTTTTTCATAAAACTTATCTCTGACTTTGGAGGCCCGTTGTTTTATTAAAAAGCTTCAGAGAAGCAGAAGGGCGGGAGTGAGATGTATAATTTATACGAGGATGCATAACTAATTTAATTCTATGAGAAAGTTCACTACTTTTTTATACCCAGCCTGAATTAAGCTAATCAATTAATCACACCATGGGATTTTGTTTCGATAATAAATGTTCGAGTCATTTCGGAGGAGGATGTGCAGAGCCTCTGGTTTCAGTCTTCTATCAGAGCCTTCTCAATCAAACCAGCATCTGTACATAACCCAGTACTCAATGATGGCGTCCAAACAGAAAAAAGGGTATTACTTCAAATTGAGGAGAGAATCACGTCAAATTAATACAAAATGTTTTTCCATCGAAACCCTCATGTGGCTTTACCCTTTCAACTGCACATATACTGTGGGTAAATAAAGTAATATGTCCACTGTAGCTAAACTAAATATAGATTTAGAGACTCAACTAGCCAACTATGCAGGCCGCTGTCTTTTTTATTTTATTCTACTTTTTAGAGAAGTAGCACCAAGCAAAACATTTCCCGTTCTTGATATTCATAATATGTCCTGAGATGGGAGTTGATGGCTCTGTTTGATAACTGTTTACTAATTCTCTGCCCTAACCTTTAGTCCAGGTTTTGCTTTCTAACAACATGCTTAAATTATCACTGGAAACAGCTTGATGGGATGAAGATCTGACCTTGTAGAAAAGGCTAAACAAAGCCCTCAGTGTTCAGATAAAACTGCGGCTGAACCTACATGTTCTCCCACTTTATCCCTTTATAATTATGAGATGAGAACTACGTCATTAGCACATTTGGCACAAATGAACTAATTATGGTGGTCAAGGTAATGCTGGCCGAGAATAGAGAAGAGCAGCCAAAGGACAGTGTGGGAGACAGAGTGCATGAAAAGAGGAAGACACAGGGGCAGACGGACGGCTGGTACTTTCAGATGAAAATGATTGCTTATTCTGTAGTCTGAAAATAAAGACTACTTGTATTTTCTAAGTATTTTTTTTATAGATAAATCAGTAGGAGCAGAAAATTGTCCTTTACTTTCTCTGACAGCAGAGGGTGCCAAAACTGCAAAAGACTAACAGTAAGGAGACATAACAAAGTGAAGAGCAGATAATGAGCTCAGAGAGGCTGAAAAGCAGACAGAATACATACAGGGATTGTATCTTAAAAAAAAATAAAAAGACTAGCAGACAACGCAGTGCTGTCAGTCAGTGTGTGACATGCTACATCTGTAAAAGGCAAGGCTTTAATGATGTACACGCCCGCAAAAGGAAAAGCCGAGTGCTGAAGAGGGAAAAGATACAGTGGGAAAAAAACTGACTTAGAAAACTCAAATATGAGCAGAATGGACTGAATAGCATGAATGGCATTTTTTGTTGATTCCAGCTTTGTGTCCTTACAGCTGATGACTCAAATCCTCCTCGACAAGCCCCTCATCATAACAGCACACATTCATAAAGTGCCCGTCTGAGGGTTTGCCGACCATCAGTCATCTCCCTGCTCTTTGTAGCCGAGCATCCTGCACATCCTGCAGACGCTGGGGCTTACTTCAGTGTGCTCAGTTTGCGAAGAGGAAAGCCGTCAGAATGCGGGAGCGACTTAAGTCACAGAGGCTAAAAAAACAAGAAGTGTTGACAGTGTGCGTCACAGACCTCGGCTTTGCGCATCATCTCTTTGGTGTCTTCTATCTTCAGCTCCAGATCTAGTCTGCCCTGCTCAGTGGGGGGCAGGCCGTGACTCTCACACTCTTCTAAAGACTGAAAGCGAGACACACACACACACATACATCTTAATGAGAAACGGAATATGCATGCGCTTTCTAACGAACCTAATTGGGGTTCAGATCTGAACATCCTCGGTCAATGTCAGCTTGTGCTCTCTGTACTCACTCTCTTGCAGTGAATGATATTTTTGTGCTCTCTGGCCACTCTGGTCGCCCATTTCCTGGCTTCCTTGTTCAGACTGTGCTCCTCCGTCGTCCCCGATTCTGATTCCAGCTGACGACTCTAACATATCCAGACACACACACACACAGACAGGCATGGGTAAACACATGCAGACGCACATAGGCACAGTGTCAGTGTTAACAGCTCAAGGTGTGTGACATGCTGAAGTTGTTAATGAAGCTAAAGATAGCGTTGAGAGCGATTGTTTTCTTCTCACATAATCAATGCATTGTGTGTTTCAAAGCTCTGTTGTAATCCTCTCGGAACAAAATAAATGCTATTGAAACCACATGTGGAAGAGCACGAGTGTGCCGGAATGTGAGGCAGTGTGTGTCTGTGTGCGCTCCAACGTGAACGAGCACGGGGGCGCATGGCAACAGTCTCCTCTTTTTATAAGAGAAGGCTGCTGCCATAAAAGAAAATATGTGACCCTGTCAAAGAATCTACACGACTTTCCAATAAAACATTCATCATTGATTACAACCATGTGCCAAATCTTCAGAGACCTTTGTATCAAATCCACCTCTAGAATTCATCCATTTGCTATTCACAAAATCTGCGATGTTACGTCTTAAGAGGCACAAAACTTGTGGCTTTTTGCCACGTTCATTTTAGGAGAACATGGATTCCATTAATAATGCACAATGTCTGACAGGGTCAAAGTTTAATGGTTTAGCTGTTTAAATGTTTCAGTCCTTTTACTCTTGGTCTCGGCACCCTTCTGTAGTTTTAGGAAGGTGAGGTTTAACAGAAAGACCCTTTCACAACACTTGAGTACATGAACAAACAACATGTGAATGAAACTTTAAACGGAGCCGGCGTGTTGCTCAGCCAATCAAATTCTTACCCAACCAAACCCACACAGAGTTCAGAAAACGCCGGGAAAAAGTCTTTTGAGAGTTCAATTTCTAACAAAAAACCCATGATTGTTTGGTAGATCTTCCTACTGATTTATTTTACTACAATTTCAATATTTGATTTGATTAAAGCCTTAAGGCCCATGGGATCTAATGCTAAGATACTGATTCTAAGCTCCATTGGAGATGCAATGATATTTGTACATGCCATGGCTGCCCAGGGCTCTTTTGGAGGCATAAATGTCAGTGTTATGTAAGTTTTTTTCATTTCTCTAATTTGTTCTTTTTGCTCACTATTATACTAATGTGATTTGATAATTGTATTAAAAAAACTGCTTTCTTCTTTTTTAACATCCGCTCAAGAAAGAGTTCAACCAAAGGAAACTCAAGACTTGGGATTCACAGATTTTCCTAATCTGCTGATAAACCTGTGTTATATAGACTCAAGTACACAGAGATTTAATAGCACCTTTTCATGCAAATCATATCCATTAATTATGAGCTGATTCAGTAACACTGGGGTATAAAGCTGGCTAAGTATAGGTGTGAAACAAAAAGTATTACACTAGAGATTTACAGCTTAATTACATCCGAGCGTGGGGAAACACCAGGGAATTAAACTCTGAGATAATGTCCACATAAAGATCTATGTTTAGTTTTATATTTGTATCTGTATATTCTTTTAAAAGTATTTACTTTAATCTACTGGCTTACAGCCATGGCTCAAGGTAGATCCCCAGTGTGTCCATATGGCTAAATATCAGTGGGTGAGAAGCAGAACCTCACATTTAACCTCACATTTCTCTTGTAAGAATACTTAATACTGAAGGGCATCCTTTTCACTCTTTATGGAAGACAGCAAGATTTCTATGTCTTCAATCCTTGCATTATAGCATAAGGCCTTCTGTCGCTGTTACAAACATATTGGTTACACTTTGCATGTGTACACAAAATAAAAATACACCCTGTTAAACACTGGACCACAGGGCTAGCTCACTTTCAGGTAGTTCAGTACTTTTCTGTGCAGCTGTGTTGCCGGTTTAGTGGAAAGGTCAAGAGAAATAGTGGTACATGCATCACAGAAGTGAAAGCTCATCCTCCAAATTTATGGATTTACCCATCCCCTTTGTCACTGTTATGGTCTTCTATTTTGAAGTCCCATAATACTCAAGAAATACCGTGTGCTCTCTGAGCATTTAAGTCAGAAAGGGTCAAAGTTTTGAGAAGAAGGTGCCAGTTTAAGGATCCAGCAGATGTTTTATGGTGTGAGGAACATGTGGGAGATATGGAAGCTGTGTTGGAGTCTCACTGCTTTTTACTTGATATATGAAGACTGCTCACATACAGCTTGCTGATACCATCTAATGGTGTATTTCTGACTTAGGAATGTACCGTAGGATTTATTGGTCTCGTATTTTTACTGTTCACTGTTTTATGTTCCACATGAAAGTCTTTACTTAAGTCCTATTTTTGTGCTTATTCACATATTTCTATTAGTGAGATAACTGGTACTTTTGAGTACTTCTAGCTCAGCTCTCTGAGGTCAGATTTCCTCTGTCATCTGTATTAATTTTCTACAGGAAATACAATTCTTATCTTAAGTAGACCATCTTTACAGGAAATATTTCATAACAAGAAAACGACAGATAAGGGCAAATTTGTCTCAGCTCTATAAGGTTCTATCACACCTCTGTATTGCTTTCAAAAATCCATGTGACCACTAGTTTAATTTGCCAATTGTTTATGGCTGGAATTAAAAGAGAAATAATCTATGCATTTCATGCCATGATGGCAGGTCGAGAATCCCGGATTTCTAGTGTGATGAAATCAGTCTGAGACTTTGTAATGTTGATAATAATAATGACAATTTTTTTCTATCTTTACAAAAACTTCCAATGATTGGGATTTAATTTTAACTAATACCTATGGTGAAATTGTTAACTGAAAATAAGAGTGAGGACATTTATCTCAAATGACCAAAAACAACAAATAAATAAATGAAAAATTACTAATACCAAAAATTCTGACTCATTGAACAATGGGAAAGGGATATAATAGAGAGAAAGCCTACATCATTTCAACACCACAGCAGCATCTGATGGGTCATCTGGAGCTCCCCAAACATGTATGACCATGTAAACCACTGCCATCTCAACAGTAATGCAGCTAATGAGGGTCTTCTGTTTTTTGTGCAAAACAGCATCTATGATAGCAGAACTGCAACAAAGAGAGCGAGCTTTGATAGGGATTCTTATCTTCTATCCACCACAACTGTCTAACACAGGTTCAGAAAACACAAAACACAGGATGGGTTAGGGAGAAAACATCATCATAGTCAAAGGGTGTCTGTTTTGTTGCAACAGTATAGCTGAAAGTGACTAAGGTAACAGTTTAAAGAGAAATTAATGTCATCTTTGAACCATCACTGACTATGATGTCATAAGTGTGGTCACAACCGCACCTGCATGTTTTTGCTGCATCATGATAGGATGACCTATCATCCAGTTCATAAGTTCATAACACTTTTATTGCAATAAACGGGGAGAACGGCTAACGGCCTAAGCAGAAGAATCTGCCCACTTGATCTGCCCTCCGTCCAAAAGCCCACAGACGAGACCAATGTTTAAAACCACTGATTTGTAAAACACAGAGATGTTAATTCTACATTTATATTTTGTAAGCTATTGCTTTAGGTCCTGTTTTTGCTGAACTGCAGGAAATGTTGTGACAGCCAAACGGTGTCCATTCCTGACAAAGGGGCAGGCCCATTCTTACACAAGCTGACTTAGTGTTTGACAGTCAATCAAAATTTAATCTCAGGGAAAGGCATTGCCTACTACAACAATTTCTACGTAGGCAGGGAGCATCATTTATTATGGGCTGTAACAATGTTAGTAATGTCAGTGACCTGCAAAGACTGCAGTTATGAGGTTTCTCCTTGCAGAAAAATACATCACAAGTGGCATGATCACTGGTTTTGTGGCGGAGACTAGCATTTATCAAAAATGGACAGCCAATGATTTTTCATCTTTTTTTTTTTCTTTCCAAGCAGTTGATCTTGATTTGTTTGTAACTGTGCAGGACAAGGAGATCGAAAAATGCAACGTGAGCAAAAACGTGGGAAAAGTCAAGTTTGCCATTTGAAAAGAACAACACAGAAAAAGTGATTCATGTATTACAGATGCCACACAAAACCATCCATCACTACCCTAATAGTTGGTGATGAATACATAATTAGAACTAGCCACGGGTTACACGAGCACAGAGATAATAAAAGGACACGAATGGAGCACATGAGACATGGTTTGTTTTCGGGAATGGAGATGGGAATGCCAACAACGGTTAAGACTACCTGTGCCAGGGTCATTCTCATGGCACTGACGGGCGACGGCTCAATGTCCACCAACTGCTGCACCGAGCTCAGAGTCTGCCACGCACACAGTCAGACAGGAGGCATCCAGACACCCAACGGCAGGAGTGAAAGCACACACACACACACACACACACACACACACACACACACACACACGCACACACATACGCGCACACAAATCCAAGGAGAGGTTTACGGGAAAGAAATTCAGGGGGAAAGTGTTAGCAAATATTAGAGAGGAACAGGAAGACAAAGGTAGGGCTAGAATATTGATACACAGATGAATGTTAGAGTAGCAGAATAAGTAGACGAGATCAAAGAGGGAAACTTGAGAGAGAGACATAAAGAAATGAGAGAACACAGCATGACTCACACAGGAGAAAAGGATAGCTTCTCTACAGAGGAATTAAGCGCTGTGTCCACTGAAAGACGTGTCTTTCTTCACCAGAAATACTTAGCAGGTCTCTGGAGGAGCGAGACGGCCCAAAACTAAATGTTCCGCTGTGATCTCATGGACTTTGATCATGCCACGCAATCTTAAATATTTATTACAATAAGGAGTCAATTGCATTTAAAAGATTTCTGGATAGGCTTTAATTAAGGAGAAAAGTACAAGAAAGATTAGATCCCAGTGGACACAAGTGATAAAAATTAGAACAGAGACTTGATTAACGCATCTGTTATGCGGTCACCAAACTCTGGATAAATGGACTATTCCATCTTGAATTGTTAACATTAAGAAATCTCTTAAAACTGGTAGCAAAATACCCAAAGATCTCTCTAGAGAGAAAGACTGATCAGAGCTTTAGCTCGGCTTAGAAAACGTCTCAGCTTCTGATGGATTAGCCAAAAATTGTGCAGAATAAAATTATAAGAGTGAGCTTTGTTTCAGCAGTTTAGCTCATCCAAAAGTGTACAGGAAAATTTTGGATTGAAAGAAAAAACTTTTAGGGAAAAGATAGCGTGTGGCAAACCAGGAGGCTGGCTGATGTCCTGTTGCAAACAGGTTCATGTGCAAACAATCCGAGGACTTTAAACACAATATGACAATGCTGCGTGTGCCCAAACGTTAATATGGGTGCGTGCGTCTTGGAGACTCTTACCATGTCACATTCACTGGGCTGGAACTGAAAGTAATTTGCTTTGTGAAACACAGGATTCTCTTGCATGAATAACTGTTGGTTGAACTCCTGGATTATCTAAGCAAGAAAGAGAAGGAGATCGTTAATCGTGCATATTTTCACATGACCCTGCTCTGAAAACCTAACATCTCGCTGGCTGTAGCTGCTGCTCCACCTAAAGAAGCGAGCAAAACATTTAACTGGCAAGTTTCAGTCCGACGGCGGGTGAGTGTTACATCCACACACAGGGATTTGGGGTTTGAAAATGGCATTTTTGTTCAGGCTGTTGGGTGTGGAAGCTGAACGTAAAAGGAGTAGTTAGGGCTTTTCCACACAGGCACAGCAATCCTGGATTTGTTTTTTTTTTTTGTTTGTTATTTTTACTAGAGAGGCTACATGTGAGAAAGCAAACGTTTGTGACATTTTCTTTGGACTTGTCACACTGAGTGAGTCTGTGTTTGAATAAACCAGGTTATCCTCAGGAGAATCCGCACTGTGGGAATGTGTTTGCTGAAGATATTACTGTTTACTCTTTTCTGCCTCAGAACATATAGAATAAGTATAACTCCTCAATATATATATATATTCTTTGGTTAGATTCATACAAAATCAAGTTACAGCTGCAGAAACGTTGAGCCACTTCCTGAGAGAAGAAGTGCTCTAATAGGTCAGATTGTAGTATCTCAAAATTATATTTATGTGTGGCTGAAAGTTCAAAATATGTATATATGAATATATAAAACAGATTAATGAAATAAAAATCACTCTTTGTGTGTTCTAAATGCTTAATCAATTATAAAACTGTTACAAGAATGAATCAAATGGTTTAATAGCAATGAAAGCAGAATGCACTTAGAGCCTGTAAAAAATAAGGGTGTATCTGTTGTCCATGTGACTCACCCTGGTGGATTTGTCCAGAAGGAACTGGAAGGTGTTGTGTGTAACTTGGGAGGCTTCTAACTCAGTACGGCACAGCGCTACCAGGTAATCTTTTACATGCTCATAGATTCTCCCATCCAAGGCCTGGAGGAGAGACAGAGAGGAGGGCCGTTACGTCCCAAGAAGAAAATATTAATTAAGGCAAATGTCACAACCTTTAACAGCATAACAGACAGAGGCTGGGACACATAAGACACAGACATGGCGTCAAAGAGTTGGTGAATAAAGGCAGCTGCTGTCATAGAGACGATTTTTTTCCTGGCATTTATTCAAGACGTGTGCTCCACTGCATGTCCTCCCTGTCGAATTAGGTTTATCAAGAGTGTGTTCTGAACTCTAATCTAACAGTCCCTAATGCAGTATTTTCAGAAATAGGCAATGGAAAAGACTCTGACTGTAAAATGGAGCAAAGAGATTCAAATTATGACTCAAGTCAGAATTCAAACCTACATATATGGGGTATAAGTACCCCCATTGTGGTGTTTTTACTTAGATCACCTGGTTACCTTTTTAAAAAATCTTTGCAGGCACCTGAAAATTACAGACTGCATTTCCATGTTGCTCAGAGTTTCTTAAAATGGGCCGGAGTTGTTAAATGGAAATATAGTCTCAGCGTTAATGGGTTCAAAGTTGCCTTATGTACAAAAGCTTCAGGAAAAGGAGAGATTAGATGTAATTATTAAATACACCAAACTGAGAACAGGGATCAAAGACAGAGGCGAGGAAAGGCATTGAGGTGAACGACAAGACACAAAAGTGAGGCAGATGGCAAAAAGTCAAAGAAGAAACCAAAAAACTTGCAGATGCTTTGGTCTGATAGACACCATTGGACGTTCCGATGCACTGATATAAAGGCATTTCAATAAAGCATGAGGCCTAAATGAAGTGCCTTTAAATAGTGAGCCGGGATAGTGTTGCCAAGCTGTGGGCCAAACTGCCAGACATACCAGTCAGACAGAGAGGGAGAGAGAGGCTAATGGAGAGCAGGAAAGAACATTTGAAAAGGTAATAACAGCATTAGTGGGTAAAAGCAAAGAGGAAAAGACGGAAAAAACTTGTGTATAAGAGATGGGTGTGTGTGCTCACAGAAGTGTTCTTTGGACAGAGTTCTCACAGCTGCGAGGGAAGGTGAGGGGGTTCAGATTCCGATTCAACAAAACACAGACCACACAGTCTTACACTTCAGCTCTCAAATATTCAGGCATGGATACACACCTTCACCAAAACCCACAGTCAGAAACCTGCACACACACCACGCTAGAAAGGGCATCCTTTAGGCCAAGTCAACAATCTATCCCTCCTTTACAGTCCAGCATAAAATGACAAAACAGAAAAACATGTTTTTGTGGGACAAAAAAATGGGGAATTTACAAACACGCAACAGACTTTTAACACAATAGGTTATCTACAGGGAAATTATGTCATTAAGGGTGGGTTGCTGGCCGACCTCTCTTTACATGTTTCCTCATCATTCTGGTAATTTCCTCCACCCCCTTTCCCATCTTCCTTCCCTCCTCTTTTTATCCATTTACGGTAGTGCCGAAATGAAGTGAGTCAGCTTCCAGAAAAAGCCCCGTCCCTGTGCCACGGCCGGTGGGCGTGTGTGTTTGTGCACGCTCATGTTGAATGACCGCATCTGTCTGAACAATAAGCACAACGCGGCGGAGCCGGCGGGGCAGCGGAGGTGTGAATGTGTAAAACGCATTTGCGTCTGGACGGGGAGAGCAGCAAAGGAATCGATTTCTAACAGCAGAGGGAGACCAGGAGCAGCTCCTATCCTCTCGCCACAACTGTCGCATTGACAAGGACAGCAGCGCTCCGGTGTGAGACGCAAGTTATCACTGCAGCCAACTCCAGCTCCCAGTCCAGTTAGTTAGTGAAGATTTGATCTAAACAATGCTTTATCTTCCTGGTCTCCTTATCAATACTCCTCTGAAAACCATCCAATTACTTTAAATCTTTCTCTCCCACGTTAGATTCATCCTCTTCCCCTGTCTGGTCTCAAATAAATGACAGATTACTCCGCTTCCCTTTGGTAGAAAGAGGGATTCTCACTATTGAAGAATTAGCTGTCGGAAGGATTTCTGGAAAGTGAAATTTAGTGCCATGCATCCTATTTCCTCATAAATCCTAAGAATACACCAACTACCACATCTAGTGACTAATGTCTACAAAATAGTGCAGCCCATGCTTTTTTCTTGATAATACTCCAGTGGGAATAAAATAATCTGTGAAAAGAATGCAGACTTCAGATTTGTGTGCGTGCTGTTATCAGTGCTTTTCATGCATAGACCTGTAACCACCACAAATAAAACTGTAAGGGGGGAACAGCTTGCTCCCCTCTAGCAGTGTCCCTTATTTTCCTTGTGTGTTTGCATGCACACATTTGTGTATATGCATATTTCCCTGCAGTTCTGTCCTTCTGTCAAAAGAAGATCTATTATTCAGAATGGCCTAATACAGAAGATGCTCATGCCCAAAGCAGAGTATATCAGAATAAGCGAGAAGGAGAAACCACAAACTTGAAAAAAAGATGCAAAAAACAAAGAACAAAATGCCAGGTCAAACACAAATGGAGAGCGGTATTCGGGAATGCTTTTTTAATGGGATATTCCTGCTGAATACTGTCAGTCAGAAGTGTTTCCATCTCCTATAATGCTCATTCACTTTTTTCTACATGGGTAGAAACCACGGCAAAGTGAACATAAATGCACTTTTGCTAAATAAGGAAAGCTCAAATGGACCTATTTAAATGCATTATCCCCAAATGCCCTTAAAAAAACAAAGTTAGTAACATAACCGTTGCGAGTAAGAGAGCAAACAAAACCGCTGGGCAAACAGAAAAAAAGAAAGACAACAAACTAATTATAAAAAGTAGTCACAGCCACCCTTAGGTTTGTCTAACTCTGATTCAGTTTTCAGGCTGGAATGTGACGGCCATTTTTTATTTACAGCCTATGAGAAAAGAGATATCACATCAAGATGGTTTAGAGAGACAAAGGAGATTTATAGATGATGTGATGGTACATGTGCAGATTTCCCCAGTAGCGTGTAAGTTTCCCTGTGAAGGTGTACCCTTTAATAAGACTGACAGTAATTACTAGTGAGATGAAGAAAACACCAAATATATGAGAATGTAAACCTCACTGTCAGACTAGCATGTCTGCACAGTTTATATGAAGATGACACTGTTCAAAAACACAGCGGCTGAGGTCTGTCTGTCGGTGCACAAAGCAAAACTGGCATTTTGGGGAGTGTGATTTGCTCACAAACACACACCGATTCTAATTAGATTATTTCAAGAACACCAAGGCAGCACTCCAAGTAGACCACTGGAAAAACTTCACCTGAATGAGATGTGTAACAATGAGATTAATATCAGAGTGGGCCTAAATATACTATGTATTCTATTGCAAAACTGGTTAGAATGAAAAGCTAGCCTAAAAGCCCACATTTTGTTCAGCATTGTGAAATGTCTGAATCCATGCCAGCAAGTCATTCAGTAAGGCCACAATTTGAGCTGGTTGATTTTCCTGGAAATGTTCCCCTTACGCGAGCCCCTCTTCAAATCAGAAATCCAGAAAATGCTGGAACTCTCTTTGAAGACTCAAAACTGTGAAATTGTCACTTTTTCTGCAAGATTAACTTTCCGACTATTTTACACTCATTTTTCCCCGTTTTGCTATTCTAAAAGGAAAAAAGAAAGGGAACCTCGGGCTTAAGCTAATTCTCTCTGTAAAAGGAACTGTTGGTGTGGCATTAAAAACTTGAGACTTCGCTCACATTTTACAAAGACGTCAGCGCGTTGAGGGATTTGTGCAGTTTATCTCATTCATTTTCTTTTTCATCTTTCCGTGAATACCTGTATGCAGTGCAGTAGATCTGTGTGGTAGTAGCGGTCGTGGTGAGCGTTGGCAGCAGCTAGCGTTAGTAAGTAGTCGTTCCTGGCCTGCGTCGCCTTGGAATTACAGTCACTCCTCTTTGCTTTCAACTGAAATGAAAACACTTTTCAAAACTTCGCTGGAAGAAAACTGTGCAAGCTTTGGTCCCGGACCATTTAAAGTGATCCACTTGAAAGCTCTGCCATAAGGGCCGATAAATTCCAGAACGAGGCGGTCTTACCTTTACACTTGCTTTCTGTAAACTAATTCTTGACTGAAAAAGGGCCAGTTTAGATCTACAAGAAGAAAGAGAAGCAGATGTTCCGTAAGGCTCAATCACAAGGACAATTCAATCGCACATATGCAAAAAGTTAAAAAAGGAACGAAGCATCACACTCAGCCTGATCCAGCTGTCATGATTTTCATTAGCAGTGAGATTTAAAGTGAGACCTAAAAGAAAGGAATGCACCTATGTGCATTCTTGTGTGTCTGCCAACAGTTTTTCTTTTTTTCCTTTTTTTCAGCTTGTACTAAAAAAAGGCCGTCGATCTTTCCAAACGCTCTAGAGGTGTGTGTCAGTGTCTGTTGGGTGCCTGCGTGTGTGAGTAAACGTGGTGTGTTTCTGCCGGTGTTAAAACAGGAAGTGTGTGATGGGTCTCTGCATTCGCGCAGAGAATCATCTTGTCTGAAATCCACAGTAACACACACCTACACGTGTTTCCCTAAAAACAGAGTCGGTGCGATCGTTTCTGACGCTGGGACTCCTCTGCTGAGTGATGGGGAACATTAAAAGAGTTGACTGGGCAATCGATGTGAGTGCTAACAAGAGCCGGGGTGTGATAAATAAAAAAAGACACAAACATTTCCACTGTGATCAGTGTAAATGAATGTTTCTATCTATTTATCTGTGTTGACACACATGAGTCTTTCATAAAGGCTTCACAGTGTGCACTTAACCCCCTCTGCCATCAATGAATGTCTCATGCACCAATAGTCTCTGTTAAGTGTGTTTTCTTGATCCAGTCACTCCATTTTGATCATTTACATAATCCCTGCAGAGGCGCCGCTTACCTGGCTTCTATGTCGGCCTTTTCTCGTACAGCATGGGCAACCTGCTCGCAGTCATAGTATTTTTTCTTGGCTTTTGCCAACTCCTTCACCGACTCCTGCAGCTCTGCCTGAATGCCACTCAACTGATCAATGGTCTGTGAAGGGGAAAGTGGAAAATAGGCAAGCCGTTGAAGAATGAGCATACCAACATGAGTCATCTGAACTCAGCGTGAGCGCATTAATGGAGACGAATGTGGAGATGCATAACTTTTGCTGTCCACTCACCTTTTTTAGCTGCTGTTCCTTATAGAGTCTAACAGTCTTTGCAGGATCAGATACTTGACTCTTGTAGTTGTCACATACGTTCAGCCTGGACTGGCTCACCTGGACTGTGCCCTCTAAGTAGGCCCTCCACACTGCGTAAACGTTCCTAGTAAGAGAGGGAAAAGCACAAACTCTAAATGGTTTATCAAAGCGTTGAATAAGAAAACTCACACATTGTTCACAAGGAAGGAGTGAATTCCGACATTCCCTTTTTTACTGTGCGGTTTCCATCGTGGTCATTAAAAACTATGTGAGCATGTAAGAGAGAGGGTAGAAGAATCGTGCAGAAATGCAGGAGTTACTCCAGCTTGTTTCCAGTTGTGACAATAAATGGTATCCAACTTGAAGTTTTATATTTCCGCACATCAGTGACTCATAGCTGCGCGGCGAGTCATGTGTAGCTTTTGTTTTTTTTCTTCTTATGTTTTTTTTTTCTGGCGGAGTCCAACAGGGGAGAAATGCAGCTTTCATCCGAACAGAGCAGCTGACTGTGCAAGCACTTTATAGATGATGCAAGAGAAGAAAACGAGTGGCTAAAAATAGCCCTACGCTTCACGCCTCGTGGAAAATGTCGCTGTCACATGCGACTGCGTGCACACAAACTTACCTGTAGTCTGTTCTCTGGTCATCGGGGCTGATTCCAGGCCAGTCTCTCTTTAAGTACTGACTTGCTAACTTCTGCAGAGCCTGAAAGGACAACAAGAAGTGAGGTGTTTTCTTTCACCGGAGGAGATTTGTTCTGGTGCAATAAGATCACATAAACATTCCTGATCGATAACAGTGATGCAGTAAAAGCCAGTGTGTGATGCTCATGGTGTAAACAGAACTCTACCAGACACACCAGCAGAGCGTGCACGGTGGAGCCCAAGCACACTCGAGGGTGTCCACCGATAACGGCTTAATCCTGAACCTGCACCAAGTCATTCCTTTGACCTTACCAAGTGTTTATTCTTTGTCCCTTTATTTCTAGGCCGGTGACAGAGCCAAAATCTTTCATTCAGGACCGGGTAACAGCCCTGTGTCAGCTCTGCTGTGTACGCACAGAATCCCAGAGCCTGCAATAAACGCTAACCTACATCTTTAGAGTGGGTCACTGTGTCAGTGGCGACAACTCACACACACACACACTCCTGTTCCTCTGTGTATGCGTGCGCCGGTGGTAGGAGGGCAAAATTCTCATTAATAAAACAGAGGTTAACAAACCAGGAGAGCTGGTACAACACGCCATTTAGGACCAATGGGACTTAGGGACAAGGAGATGCCCTAAGCAGAACTCTTCACTATTTTCAGATCTACAGGTAAATCACGCCGAACTTTACTCCAAATGTCTGATCATTAGAATTGCGACAGTCTATTTTCCATCTGTTATTCTGTGATTTTTGTCATAACTGTATTCCTAGCCTGAGTGAATCCTTCATTTCTTCTTCTTTCTTCTCCTCACTCCAATATCTTACACATGAGCCTCAATCTTTCTTTTCCTTCTCGAGTCCTTCATTCATTTCAATCATCACCTGTCATTTCTCTTATCTTGGCAACTTGACCTTTAACGAATAGCACCATAGGGTTTGAAAACCTCCCGGACCATTCTCCAGTTAGGATGATCAGGAGGCTGTAGCCTTTTCACCACTTCCCATCTTCATATGCAGTTTGTCCTTTAGTTCATCACATACTGACCTATGAGTGGAACATCTTGAAACTACAACCAAACTCCAACATTTGAGGAGCCCATCCTACAAGAGCAGCAACACAGGCCACAGTAAAACAAAAACAAAAACTCAAAGCTTCTTTGACTAGGCCCAAACTTAATGAAATTCAGCTCCGACTGTAAAACACACAGTTTCACAAGAGACGCAGAGGGGAGGAAGCTGTGAAACTCACTATGTGGCAAAAACCACCGAAAAGGAACTATTCAACACCTAAAAAGCTCCCAAGGTTCACTGGGTGCAGACACACACTGCTCAGCATCAGAGCTCTGAGCCGGCTTCCTCCAAACTCCTACGTCAAATTCATGCATGAGCAGCAGCCATCTCTCCTTAGGTTTAAAAATAAATTGTACTTGGGAGAGGTCAAGCGTTTCCATTATGTCTGAATAATTGCATCACTTTGAGGAAATGGTTACCAAAGCTTATTTGTGTAACTTACACTTGGAGGTGTTCAGTGCGACGGAGAGGAGATAGAACTAAGGTAGACGTGAGCTGAAGTAAATTCATGCAAGCGCGTGTGCAGAGGTGTGAACATGTATGCATGAAAATAGGCTCAGGGTACAAAAAAGGCACTGTCCACTTCATGAGGGAACATGTTTCCTTCAAGACTAGTCACCCTCTCTCAGACTCTCAAGGGAAGGGTGGAGTGGGTGTGGATGGTGTTGTTGAAAGTCTCTGTGAGCATGTTTTTAAAAGAGAGAAGAAAAAATAACCTGCATGCACAACACACAACACCGGCGGAAAATGACACGTTCCATAACTGGCAAGCTGGCCCTCAGTCCAAGAAACAGATACTTCTCTTGTGCAGGTGAGGTTTTTTTTTTTAAATAATCCTCACTGACCTAATCAAACATGGCCCACAAACTGTCCCACCCAACCTTGAGGATTTCTGCTCAGAAGCACTCAGAATCCGACCCGTTTGATTCTTCATTTCCATCCATAAATTTTCCATACAGCTTATCCCTTTATTGTACCTGTCTTGAGAGACCGGCCTTTATAATTTTCCATGTTAATCTACAGGATGATAAATAGTCATTAATAAGAGTTTGGGTACATTTGGGTTACTACAGTGATTGCCTCCAAACTGCAACATGCTGACACAGCAAGAGGAAATTAAAATGACTGAGCAGGACGAATGATAAGACATACCTGTGTGGATATCTCTTGCTGTTTCTTTGACAGGCTGAAAAAACTCCCTGCTGCACGGCGCTAGCTTTGCACACTCTGTGTCGTCTTAATGATGCCAGCATCCTCCTGTCACATCGCATTGTTGTCTGTTTGGAAATTAATTTCTCACAGCGAGGCTCTACACAACCCCCTCTCTACTCCCAGCTCCTGTCATAGCAGTTTCTGTATCTATGTTTAAAAATAAACAATCTCTCTTTTAGTTGAATAACAGATAGGAATGAATCAATGAAAAAAAAAAGTTCAATGCTCATAACAACCCCAGCACAGAACTTTTTCTCTCCCAGCATGCATTAAAAATAATTTAATGAGAATTTGACCGTGTTCATCCACAACTGAGAATAAGCTTACGCATCATCTTTCTTCATCTTATTTAGATTCATTTTATGAAGTATCTCTACAGAAGTACCCCTACAGAACATTCCCAAACACTGCGGGATCCACAGCATCTCCATGTCACTGCTCCCTCAGAAAAAAAGCATCCTTCATCGCCTCCATTTTCCGGTTTCCAAAACTCACTGAATTCAAACTCTGACAATGACCAAGTGCTGGGAGGCAAACCGAGCTACTGACTTGTAACAGCTCCACTGTTCACCAGCTTCAGTGGATTTTGGGTGTTTTTTTTCTGTGGCACTGACATCCCATCTGCTGCTTGTTCGCTCTTCCTCGACGCTCTCCATCCATGCGGTCATCCTCCTCGCCTTTCTGCCCCTCTCTGCCTCCCCTTTAACACGGCATCTCATCCCTCCATTCGGTTCTCTGATGTCATCACCTGACATCTACCTGAAAGCAGGTTGCCATAGGAACCCCTCCGCCCTTCCTTTGGGGCCTGGATGAGATGGAAAAGCTTTTTTTCCCCCTTTTTCTTTTTTTGCCTTAAACACACACGGTGTGAGTAAAATGAGAGTAAAATGCATACATATTCACACACATCCTGTTTTTGTGTCTTTGATGGCAAACGGGGTGCCCAGAATGCAGGATATCCTGAGGACACCGGTGTGTGTAGGTGTGTGTGAGAAAGGGAGGCAGAGACCGGCTGACAGACAGAGGTAAAGTGAACGGAAGAGGAGGAAAGGCTGAATGTTACGAATTTTCAGCAAGTCGCTTGGCAAGCTAAGCGGAACATCCTGTAATTATTTTCCTGATTGTAAATATAAGACTCTGCTAGTAGGCTGGCACTTCACATGAGCTTATTTTTAAATTTATGGTTAACGTCCACGGGACAGACTACAATCACTGGTCAAAATACGCTGACGTAATTGCTACTCGCTGGCCTGAAAGATGACAGGATAAGCACAAGTTCACAGCTGCTGCAACTTTCTGCCCACAAAAAAGGAACGACTGGAGAGGAAAGAAAGGCTTTTTTTTATACAAGAGGGCAAAAGAGTTTTAGCCTTAATTTACGAGTAAGAAGTGAGATGTTTTTTCATTCCGTCCTTTACAAACTTACAGTTTTTGAGGTACTTCCTGAAAAATTCTGAAGTCACCTTGATATTTCTGCCTTTTTCTAAGTCTGGCTGTCACCTTTGCTAACTCTCTGCCTGCTGTCTGCCTTTCAGCCACCTCACTTTTTCAACTTCCTCATAAATCAATGTACTTGATATTCACTCGCATCCCTCCCTCTTTGCACTCTTCTTGGCCTGCAGTTCCTCAGTATGTGCTGGGTCGGGTTATCTCCTACCTGTAGAGAGACCTGAGGCAAAGTCAAGAAAACTGTGAGAAGGCTGTGAATGGAAGCGGGGCAAGAAAGACGAAAAAGTTGGCAGAACTAAGCTGCTTCTGTGTAAAAAAAAAGGCAGAGTTGCTGTGTGTCCTGTGTGTGATGTATGTGTATGCTCAAGTGTGAACGACAACGATAAGATGTCTGCTTTCCCTAATCTTTTTATCTCTTTGTTAGCCTGCTGATCAATGTCGCTTAAATTAATGGTAATGTTATTATCTAAAGTGAATTTACAGTTGGCTCATGATGTTCCCAGCAGGAGTCGTTGGTGTCAGCCACCAGTTACACAAATCAGGGAAAAAACAATCCATAAGCTCTCATTCCCAATGGCTGGAAAACATCTAATGACGACAGCTGGTTATAGTTTACATATCACACTTGTGCTCTAAAAGAAATATCTGATATAGTAAATGTGTACTGAGAGACACAAAGAGAAATCACTGTGACTGTATTTCCCCACCTAAGGGAGAAAGCAAAGCTTTCACCAACAGGACACCATCAATAAATGATGTGTTTACAAATCTTACGTAACATGAAATCCTCCATCGTGTTATATCCACATGTGGCAGTGCATTATGGGTGCTCAGCAGCAGCCACGGCAGGCAGGCCTTATTGGGCAGTACAGTCAAGTGTGACCCCAGCCCAAAACTATTCCAGAAATGTTGATTGTGGGAGGGGAACATGAGACAAACAGCAAACACGCTCGCTCGCGCAGAAGACGGGGGAGCCTCTGATTGGCGGCCGGTAATTGTGGCTGACTCCCTCACGGGGGTGGAGAGGGGGGGGCTGGGTCTGACATACTGAGAGGACAAAGGTTAAATGACAGCGTCTTCACTTTCTGTGTCATTCAGCTGTCCTCCCACACCAGAGCTCTAGCCTATTTCTCAGGCTCTATTTTGTTAAATGAGTGTGTAATTGTCTTTCGCTGCCTCTCCAAATGTCCTTTGAAGCCTTCCCATCTCTGTCTGCGGGAACAAGTGATTGGCTCGCTTTTCCCGAGTAACTGCCAGTGGCCGGTTACCTGAGTGCCTAATGAGAAGATGACAAAAGCCATAGGGCTGAGTTGCTGGAGTAAACTCCCATTGTCCAGGATAAAATGAAGCAAAGATCCTAATGAATCATTTCCAATCCATCACATATTTACTAAGGAAAAGCCACTGTTGCTCAGATATTCCTGCACGCACACACATAGACACACACCTACAATTAGGAGGGGTTCCATTGTCCTACTGATTAGAGGGCTTGTTGCTAGGCAACGTCAATTTCTAAGGTGAACAAGACAGTTCTCAGAGAGAATAGCATGAGATGGCACAGAGGCGAGACTAAATGACGAGAGGGGCAGATAATGAGCGTCTGAAACCTGGCGGGTTGACCACAGGAAACTTCATTCAAACTGCTTGCGAGTACACACACGAGCGCACACACACATAAACAGGCGCATTACTCTCCTCTCCCTTCTCTCCCTCCACTCCTGTGTACGTGTGACAGCATTACAGCCATAAAAGCCATTAATCTGACAGCACCTGAATGTGTCAGTGCCATGTTTGGAAGAGCTCTCAGCTGGTTTTCTGTTGCGCAAGGCTCAACTCTCAATTTGATATAAGTGTGGACCCACTGACTGCGGGATTCAAACGGATCCAACAGAGTCGTACAAAATTTCCTCCTCCAAGCTTTCCCAAGCATTTCTTGGTCACAGCCCTGGGTGGTTCTCTTATGGGGTCACGACGAGTTTGAGCATCCTGGAAGGCTTTCACAATCCCTGTCATCACATATCAGCGTTTTAACAGCTCTTCTCCACTACATATGTTTTCTCTGTAGGATTATAAAAGGCAAAAACAATGAGCTGTCACTGTAAAACTGGAACTCCGTGTTTTGGAATTCCAAGTCAGAGGACCACAGAACTACACCTTGTCTAATTTACGGTCTAATCTTGCACAAATGCTGAATACTGCATGTGCACTAAGGTAGTCTTCCAGGAAGATTTAATAACCAGTAATAACTATATGCACTTCTGTAATGGTGTTTGGAACCCAACTGTTTTCCTGAAGATGTGCACGCTAATGGAAGCTAACATCTACAAGATTTTGAAGAGCGGCATTGCATTGGAGTGGTGTTTCAGGGCATTATTTCACCAGTACCTTGTACTGTATTTCGTTTGGCAACTTGATGTAAGCCACTAGTCCCCAGAGGATCTGGCATGCACGTATTAACAAGGACACATTCTAGAACTTTATTTATCATGTTAGCATAACTCTTTATGTCTGCCTCCTTTCTCACTAATCTAATCTCTCAAGTAAATAAATAAATGACCCAATATTATTTATACTACATACTTTTTGTTTATTATCTTTTATCCTGTGTCTTCTGAAAGATGCTTATTTATCCTTTTTTATCAGTTACAAGTGAGAAATTAAAATGTTCCTTTTGTTTCTGAATTTGCCCCCGATGGCAGGCTTCAAAGAAGCTTTCTTCAGAGAGATATTCGGAATATGTGAAAGAAGAAGCAGACTTCATTATTACTATTCTCTTTTTGTTCTGTCACATGGAAATGAGATGAAGCGGTACTAAAAACCTAAAGAAGACTATTGAATGGAAGTTAAGATTTAGTGTAGCTTGTATTTGACAGAGGTGTCAACATGGCTTGGATTGGCGGTATTAACGGACATGGGGCCGTTATAACAACTTGGGACATTTTTACTCATGACTGGGTGCTCATGCGATTTACTATCTGCTCTCTCATACAGTAATAATGAGCTTAAATGATTATTAAGTACTGCAGATCACAAAAGAGGGACAGCCCTTCACCAAGGGAGGGGCGGAAGGCAGTCAGATGAGTTACCTCATATTCTAAACTGAGAATCTGAGTAGCTGCTATACTAACCCACAAAGAAGTTCATTCTCATAGACAAGAAAAAAAAGCAAATTACATTTTCTTAGAGGTGATGCTGACATATTAAGTTCTCACATAAATTTATCAGACAAGTAACACATTTAAAGTTAGTTCAGTGAGTCAGTGAGTTAAAATGTATCTCATTCATTTCTACTTTTTTTTCTTTTTTGTTAGTAATTTCACAACAGACACTAAAACAACCAATCTAAGCTACTATAGATTTTTCAGAATAGAGGTCCAGCAGGGGTTAAGAATCTGTTCAAGGCCGGCCAGGCTTACTTGTGCGTAGTCCCGCTCCAACTGCCCCTTCTTCAGACTGTAGCTCCTGCAGGAAGAAAGACACATTCTGTTAAAACACACAGACAGATTCTGATCATTCGTACACATTAAACATTACACACACCCACCTCATAATAAAACAGACAGGAAAATACAATTGTTTTTTTTAATGTAATAAAAACTGAATCAGTCTCCGCAGACATCCCGGGAGAAAACTCGTGGAATGGATCAGCATTGTCTCCACGTCGCTCAGCGGCCCTTTCTATAAATGATCGGGCCGCCTCTGACCCCCAGAGAGAACAAACTCCTACAAACTGCTCTTATGTCACCCCACATCCTGGGGGCAGAGACAGTGAAAGCTCTTATCGCTGCTCAGGAATGCGCAGAATGAAAAACAACACAGAGTCTATGATTGGGCAGAGCGATAAGAGTAATTGATGAATGAACAAAGCGCCGCATATAGCGGTGGTGACAAGGTGCTGAATACAAGGCTTAATTTTCTTTAAAAAAACATTGATTTTTTTTCAAGACTCATGCACATTTCACATAATACCAGGCAAAGTCTGGATGGTTTATTATGCCTTTCTATGAATCCAAGCCCTTTGTGGATGTGCACGCAAAGAGCTGCTGACGCTGACATGTAGCTGCAGTATGTTTTGACTACCCATTCTATTCTTGTGGGTCAGATCAAATCTACATTTCTGTGTTTTTTTGTTTTTTTGTTTATGCAGAATCTATTTTGGCCATCCAAGTCTACAGAGATGGTGCCCCTGTATGTAGCAAGGCAGTTCTAACAAGTTTAAGCCTCAAACATACTTTCTGTTCTGTTCCTTGGACCTAGGGCAGTTGTATCTTCTGTATCGATTTAATAATATAGACTAGGAATAAGTGACAATGGATGGATGGATTAATTTTAGTCATCATCAAGAAATCAGTTGTTAATGCTGTCACTTCCACAAGTATAATATGCTCTCAATTGCAGCAGCATCACAAAACCTCAATTTTTAAAGTCAAATTAACTTTCCTGATAAAACATTTTCATTAAATGTTGATATAGTGAAGGATTTAACCCTATGATAGCATTATTAAATAAAACGTGTATTAAGGTGAAGCCTGAATATAACTTTAACCAACTTGATTAAAATCATTGATCAGGGTGTTGGTAGGAAAAAGAATTCACAGATTGGAGGAGGAGGCAGACTTCATCATGTCACAAGGAGATGAGAAGAGGAACTCACTGGAATTTTCCCTTTTAGACACCAATTCAGGGCAAGTCATTTAATGTGGGATTAAGTGGGAAACAATAGGTGAAAGAGGGTTCAAGTCCCCGAGGGGAACCAGGACCTTTCTGTGTGGAGTTTGCACGTTCTCCCTGTGTCTGCGTGGGATCTTTCCGGGTATTCCGGCTTCCTCCCACAGTCCGAAAACCTGCATGATTGGACATTTCAAATTGCCCTTAGGAGTGAGTGTGAGTGTGAGTGTGAATGTGCGTGGTTGTTCATCTCTGTGTGGCCCTGCAATAGACTGGCGGACCATCCAAGGTGTACCCTGCCTCTCGCCAATTAACTACTGGGATAGGCTCCAGTCGCCCCGTGACCCCCATTTGGGAACAGGTGAAAGACATATCCACTATATAGTCAGTGTTTCTGAAGCTGATCCTAAACCTAAATTTCAGATTACTTCAATGTATGCTGAGGTGGACTGTATGCCTTCCCAAAGGCTTCTTAGGTCACAACATCCAGTGGTGGTTTTGACTGTCTGATATTTTTCCTGACTCCCTTTAACCTGTTCAGCATATTACAAGCTACACCAGCATCGTGATTTTTTAAGAATCAGTATATTTTTGCATGTTACACCAGTCGGCTGTAAAAAAAAAAAAAAAAAAAAGGGGAAAAAAATGGGGTAACAACACCTTAGACAGCGTAATTGCTGCTGATCCTCCATGCTAATTACAGCCCAAACAAATTGCGCAGAGCTCCATGTCAACCCTCTCCCTTGACATTGCTTCGTGAGAAAACTGCTGTTTAACCTGTTTAACAAGCAGCTTTAGATTCGGGTCGCATCAGAAATTACAAACAGAAACAGTGACCTTTATCATTCCAAATAAAGACTGGTCCAAAAGAGCACTAATGATCTGCTGGAGGAGGCTTCCCGTTGTGTCCAGTACTCAACTCCATTCCCGTGCTTACGGCTGAAATGCGACTCTCAGTGCCACAGGTCCACGCGACCCGACCCGTTGGTGTGTGACGTCACCCATGGCAAGGCCTCGTTGGCGCAGTAGGCAGCGCGTCAGTCTCATAATCTGAAGGTCGTGAGTTCGAGCCTCACACGGGGCAAGCCAATTTTATTTTTCCTGATTTAAATGTGACGTCACACACATTGACAGGGGTCGTTGGCGCGCCAATCTCATAATCTCACACGGGGCACAGCGATTTTCTCTCTCGCTATCGCTGTGTGACGTCACGCATCTATAGGCCTCGTTGGCGCAGTAGGCAGCGCGTCAGTCTCATAATCTGAAGGTCGTGAGTTCGAGCCTCACACGGGGCACAACTGTTTTCTTCTTCTTTCCCCATATATTACATTTGCATTATATGACCGTATGAATTTGAAAAGCTAGATAAAAGAACCCCTAATATAGTGGTTGCACATTTGTAGAAATAGGGAGGTTTCTACAAAAAAATATATATACTCTGGGGTGACACTGAAGTAGTAGTCATTAGACATGAATATTTGAATATATGCTTTCATGATAACAGTTTCAATATGAAATCTCTGATAGATTCTTGCATGGTAACATGTTACAGTATGAATCTCTCTTAGACACCAGTCATACACAGTGTGCAGAAAAGGCACTGCTGGGATTCGAACCCAGGATCTCCTGTTTACTAGACAGGCGCTTTAACCAACTAAGCCACAGCGCCACAGACCCCCAGGGTCAAGCTGTCACAAAAATCCGAGACACTGATATGTTCTCATCATGAAATTACGTCTGTGACTGACATGACAGCTCAATCCAAACTTCACACTTGAAAAAAGCTGAGTGGCCCTAAAATCTAATCTCTCGTAAGCAAACATAAATGCTTTTTCTGCTCTTGGTTCTGAATGGTAACTGCATTCCTGGCTGCTGGTGAGGTGCCTTTGAAACACTGGAGTCAACATCAGTAAAGAGACGTACACCAACAAACACACAGCCGCTCTGGGATCTGTGGACATGTCTGGGCTTTGGCCGCTGCCATGATTACGTTACAGCAGGGACACCGTACATAAACAGAATTATCAGCACCTAATTATCAGCACCCATATTCAACATTCTCATGACTTCTTGCATTTGTTAAATAAAACTTTTTTAAAGCAAATACATTTCTTATCTTTATTAGTTCTATTTCCACCTTTCAAACCCTGTCCATCCACCACCCCTCACAGACCTCGTCTCTCCTCCCTTTACAGTGTCTTTCCCTTTTTTGTTTTCCTATGTGTTCCTTCGGTCCTCCCTCCTCCTCTTTCTAAACCGCTGCCTGCCCATTACCGGTGCATGATTGTAACTGTACAGTGAATGAGTCAGGGAGCAATGTCAGCATCGGCATAGTGTGGAGAGGCAAGGGGGAATGAAAAAGCTCCGACTTGGAGGCAAGTGTACGTCTGACAGGAAACCCTTAAGTGCTTAGGAGCGGACGCTAAGCGTATGTGATGTGTGTGTGAGTGTGTATAGGTCAAAAGGCAATAAGCTAAAAGAAGGAGAGAGGAAATAATCAAACAGGGGGAAACAGCTGAAATCACTGGTGAAAAAGACAGAGACTGAGATCGCCACGTGAGCCGCAGAAGGGTGGACATGTTTCCACACTGCGTGATCGCCACAAGACACAGCAGAGGAGATTCCCTGCAGTCCCCCTAATCCAACACCAACAGGCACTCAAGGATTTATCGCATTTAAGATTACATTGCCACTGATAAGTAAGCAGTAAAATGGACGACGGGGCGAAAGCAGAATTTCTACCAATAATTCATTCTTTACAAGGGTGGCTCTGCAGGGGTTTATAACCCTACCCTGGTCCTCAAAACAAACTGCCCTGCATGTTTTCACAATGAGAATTTGGTTTATTTGCCAATTACTAGGTTGTGGTGCCAGAACATGCAACATATACATAGAATTAGGACAAAATAATTTCCCTGCTCCAGTACACCACATTCAAATGAATGGGAAAGCTCTTTTGTGTTCTGAGGAAGGCTGATGACCCATTCATTTCAATCAGGTGAACTAAGAGCATTTTGAAAGTGTGACTTAATAAGCCAAGATAATAACAAAGAAATTGCTCTGTCAGTCTGATCATTGGAGAGCAGCTGAGATCTCAGTGCAAACCAACAAACGATCAGTTTTGGCTGCCAAGGCACACAAAATGTGTGGAGCACATGACACTGTCTAACAAGGACCATTTGAAGTAAAACCCTCTCTGTGGTGTAAAATAAAAGGTGGCGGCTTCTTAAAATACTGCCAAAGACGATCGGTCACAGAGAAAAAAACAACAACCTCGAAACGTGTTGATATTGATGCTGGTAAGGAATAAAACCACAGGTTATGAGGCAAAGGAGATCTGTTGCTTGGAAATATAACTTTTTGTTTATGTATCATTAGAACACAAATCGCTTCCTATTTGTAAAGTATACAGCAGTGCCTTATAAATATTAGCCCTTAAATTAAATGTAGATCCACTTCAGCAAGAAAAGGAATGACCTCATTCTAAGAGAGCAATTTAAACAAACAAATGTGTCATGTTTATGTTATACCAGCATTAGCTTTTGTTTAAGCTTTGTCTTAGAGGCTTGTTTGTGGTTTGTTTTTGCTAAATACAGGGGCACTAAGGCCTAATTGCATTACCAGGATGTGAATCAGCTTTGCATCAATGCCACTCCTTGATTTTCCGTTACCCCAACCTCCTTAAATTATGGAAGCGTCGGTGGTGTGCATTAATGGGATCTCAGGGAGCGTCTCAGGTCCAAAGTTGTGGCGGTCCATCTTGCTGCTCAGCACGGAGGCCCATTATGCTTTAATGATATGTGCGGATAAATCCCAGGAATTGGTCAATAAATCTGTGGGAATCGAAGGTTTCATTTATCCAATGCAAGACACAGACAATGTGGTATAAATCCCGCCAAGGCCCCAGTCCAACACAGAGCCTTCCAGTTCAGACACTAATTATTTCTCTTCATTAATCATTGTCGTGTCCAAAAATGAACACTGCCCTTTAGCAGACCTCATTAAAGGGCTTCTGCCGAAACAATGGTGGATTTAAGGCCACCGCCGTCTGAGCCCGTGTTCTCTTACGGCTGAAAACATTACCAAGAGGTAAAGCCACTCTATATCATTGTGACAGTTTGGGAATCAAACAGATCTCTGCAAATCGTACCCAATAAAAATAAAAAAATAAAAAAGGAAGGCTCTTCTGTAGTTCAGATTTAGATTACTGCTTTAAATCTAGAAAGTATAAGCGAATGTTTCTAAAATCTGCATCATTATTACCAGAATGTGAATGTAAGTATTGGTTTTGTTTAGCAGTGGTAGCTGATGGATGTGTGTGTGTGTGTGTGTATGTGTGTGTTTAGCTGGTGAGGCAGACATAGTGGATTTAGCTGGATTGAGGACACCAAGTTGACTCTCTAAGTCTACCAACTGGTCATCATTTTTTGCAGTCTTTTTTATCCCCCTCCTCCTGAGACTGTTCCAGCAAAAAGGCCCAATCAAAAGATTTAACACAAGCCTCTTCCTCCTCTGCTTCCTCCCCTCTCCTTTTCATTCTTATCTTTCATCTTTTTTTATTCGGTTGCATCTTTTGGAGTTAGTGAGCGAGTGGGCTGAGCGCGGAGCAGCGAACATCTTATGTGTGAGCACAACTGGCCGTGAGTGAGTACTTTTATTCCCCCCGCGTACAGCCGCCTTTTTCCAAATCCGGTCCTCAAAGGCCGCTGTCCAGCAGGTTTTAGATCTTTCCCCGCTTCAACACACCTAATTCCCAGTGAATGGATTACTTGAAAACGTAGTTAAGCTCTGCACTGAACTGATGATGGCACATTGATGTGAATGAGGTGTGTTGACAGCAGGGAAACACCTAAAACCTTACGGACCAGATTTGGATTAAGGTATATGTATTACAACACAGTGACTATAAACTATCCTGCCTCCTGCAGTAGTCCATTTGTTTGCCCTCTGCAGGCGCCAACTCTGCATTCTGACCCAGGATGGGGACAAGTCAATAATTGCCTCTTCCTGTGGAAACCACGAGTGCACTCCTAACATTTCTGTCAGTCGGAGCTGCTTACAAAAGTAGCTGATATGGAAAGCTATCATTTTTCTATTGGTACATGAACAGGAAAAAACGGAAAACTAAGGCCCACATTGATGGTACAGGAAGACTGTTAATGATTATTTCTGAGTATTAATTGGAGGAATACAGGCTTTCCATCTGGCTTTTATACAAAATACTGAACGGTTAACTATTCTGGATAAACAATTTTATGCCAATTCCTTCTTCCAGCTAGTGTGAATTTCAGTACAAACTAAACTGAACTGGCAGTGAGTGGGAGCCGGGTGCCCCCTCGGCTATCGAAGAACTCCCAGTTCCAGATAATCTTTGCGTGAGGACACAGCAGCTGTATCCTGCTGTGTGGACCTGAGCCCAGGCCTCTCCCTCATCCCTGCATCACACCACTGCTCCCCATTTTGCCACCATAAGAAGGTGTCACCACAAAGGCAGTTTGGAGATCTCTGGCCGGTGGCCCAAAGCTTCCATCTCCCACCGACTGACGGAACCGACACGTGGTGGTTGCATATGTTTAACTGACTCTCACTCTCCCACAAGTGAGACCAGAGCCTTGTTCACTCTCCAAAACCCCTGCAGCAACAAACCAATCTGTTCTCAAACAGCTGGATCTGCCCCCAAGAGGGGAAGAGGGAGGGGGAGCCAGTGAGAATAGAAGCAGAGACAGGGTGAAAATGAGAAACAGAGCGCAAGACAGGAATGGAAGCAGAGATGCACATAGTATTACAGTTTGCTGTCATAAATAATCAATGCTTAGTCAACAAAGAAAAGGAGAGGGAGAGATGGAGCCGAGGCTTTCTCCCGTCGTCCGATCCAAACGGGAAAACTGCCAGCTCGCATACGTCATGGCCTAGCCAAAATAAAAAGCAATATGGTGGACGACAAAACTACTGGGTCCAAGATAATGAAAAAAATGTTTTTAAAAAGAGTCAGAGGATAAAGGGAACAATGGCAGAGACAGAGAGAGAGAAAAAAAGATTTTAAAAAGAAGAATGAGAGGCTAAAGGAAGCAGAGTCAAGGAGCAGGAAGAGGGCAGCAGGAAATTCCTTTGTCATTTTGCCGACCCTTTGTGCTTCACAAAAATATATAAATGACGGCCCTCCTCCTCCTCCTCTTTTTCTTTCTCATGCCACTTCCCCCTCACTCCCAAGTCGTTTTCTGTCCGCGGCTAACCATGCGTGTGCCTGGCACACACGCTTTAGGTGAGAGTCTGTCTCCTGTGGAACTCTGAGGTGGAACCCCGCTCTGTCGGGCTGCGCGACTGAGATGTTTTCATACCTCATGTCTTCCAGCAGGTCACATTCGGTCTGATGTTTAAAGTGCAGTCTTGTCATCTGCTCCGTGTGCGTGTTTTTCAGCTCCTGTGTCACTTTGACCTGGAGGAAACACAAAGGCATTAACGACAGAAGGAGCTGTCATTTACTCATCCCTCTGCCTTGCAGGCGTCTCATCGGCCTGAGCCGACAACAGAAAACCCTTCTCTGGCACAAATCAAGGGGGGCTCGCTTTTGGACAAGTCAACAGAATGTCAATCATTACATATAAAATAATTATGCAAATTTTTTTTTTTTTTTCTTCATTAAGCAGCTACAGAATGATGAATGCCTCTTTCTGTTTAAAAGTGACAGATGCACATTAACTATTAATTAGCCATAATCATTAACAATCCATATTGCTTTTTATCACTTTCCCATCGTTGCATTAAGTGTTGCATGAAATTACCCAAGGCCACAATAATATAGGTAATGCATAAAAAGTGTACACACACACACACACACACACACACACACACACAGACATTTGAGAGGCTAGAAATTCAAGCCCTCACCACACATCTTCTACTTAGCCGTGATTCAACCGAGCTGAGACACCTGAAAGGGAAAGACACCCACACACTTTCGCCCTGCAAACAAATGAGTGTAAACATCACTGTCAGGGTTCTGTCAGACTTTCGGAGACGCTGCTAGCCGAGTGAAGACACTCTGACGGGCTGTCACAGGATCTGGGCTCAGACTGAACCCAGGTACACGGAGTGTTTGTGGACTAACGATGGCGACCGGAGCGGATTCGCTATCAGCGTCTTGCCCTAAAGCCGGCCTGGCTGGCTGGCGGCGGCCGTTTACGCGCAGCCACCTCCTGCAAACGCACGCTGTGAAGGTCAGCGTGCGTTGTCGGGAGAATTCCATCAGCCATTCAGCAGGCTAACAGTGGGCAAATTCATGACCGTTCTAGACAAAACAATCAACAACGTTCCACACATACACACACAAACAGGAACACACAGTGGACCTCCTCTCTCTTACACGCCGTGACTCTGAAGATAAGGAGGGAGTGGTTCATTACATTATGAGGGCAAAAGCACTTCACTTGATTTCACCTTCTATCACTCACTGGCAACCAAAGACAAGGGAGGGAGGGGGAGTGAGGAGGCCCTTATGTCATGAGAAAAGAATATAAAGAGATGGGAATAAGATAGTAGGAGACGCTGGTCAGAAGAGGGAAGCTGGAAGCAACCGCAGGAGTTAGAGGAGTTATCTGAATAAAGATGTTCACTGTAACACAGGCGTACACTTTTCGTTTTAGACAAGTCACACATAAAAAGAGTTCCTACAATGATGCTTAATGTTCACAGTCATCTAAAATAACTAGACAATTATATGTGCTCTGTGAGGGGCCTTTGCTGTAGAAGAAAAAAGTGGTCAAAGTCATCTTAAACAGCAGGTGTGACATTTGTGCCGTATCAACTGTGCTAAAAGTTTCTATTATCATCACCACTAGGCAGCTGAACCATCTGTAAGCTGTAACCAGAGGCTGCAAGTACAGCCAGTTTAAGAAATATGCAAATGCAAGTCAGTCACCGACAGCACGTTGGTTACAGAGACATGAAAGTTTGCTCACTGTGTTTTTGTGCATACGAGACGGACAAGCAGAGTCCTGAAGGCGCATTTGTGAGCAGATGCACTGCCCGTGTCAAAAAATGACGCAGGCATCTTTAATTCAAGCCACATAAAACTAATATATGGGCGTCTAAACGGGCTCCGTTTGCAAACAGATGTGCGGGGGCCCAGACGAAACACTTAAAGGGCTGTATGTGTCGCACTGGGAGAGAAACAGCTTACATCCAACAGCCAACTACTCATGCGCTATGCCAGAGATGCTGTGGGGCCGGCTGCACTGAGCCAGCCTCGCTGGCAGAGGGGCAAGACGTCAGCGTCGGGGCGAATTCCCCGTTATTCTCGGAAGTCTTTTAACGAGACGAGTCAGCGGCACATTCACCGGCGGTCTCCACGGGCTGAATTCTGAAAAGACCTGCACGTGCGAGAGGGCTTCAAGGGCATGATTCGACACGTAGAGCGCCGGCGCACTAATGGCACGAGGGAGGGCGGGTGATAATTAGGAGACAACCTGCAGAGGGTCACAGCAGGGAAAAACCACTCACAGTAAACAGCACACCATCAGATTTCTGATATGCATCAGTCTCCTGATGCATGGTTTCACAAAGACCCCTGGAAGTCTGTCCATCCTCAAAATAACAACAACATCTGTCCAGACAGGTAGCTGATGAAAAAGCCCCTTACTCTCAACAACTATAAAAGGTCATAGTGGCATATCCAGGGCAGATGTGGAAGTCACAACTGCATTTCTATGCTTCTTCAAAAGGCTTTTTTTTTTTGCCATCCCCCAGTATTTTGTAAGCCAGCAGCTGGAAAGCTGGCTCTGACAGTTGTGTCCAAATTCAGACAAACATCTGTGTGGTGTCGTGTGTGCGGTGGGGACTGTGGTATTCTCCAAAGCCACAGGGAATCGATAAGTCGGCATCAGACATGGCCCTGGCCTCATCTCCCTCCTCGGTTTGTTTTGTGTGTGATTTTTCAGCTCTGCCCTGCTCCGTCTCCTCAGATGACACGGCCAGACTGAGGGGGCTCTCTTTGACCCGGGACGCATCGCAAAACAATGACAGCTTTTGTTGCACCGTTTGAGCGAGAGCTGTCACTATTTGCCTGCGTCCAACTTAGCAAAAAAAAAAACAGCCCCGACGCCTCGCGCCGGATTCCCGTTAACCTGTGCAACCAAAAACCGACCTCGCGCGTGCTAGCGTGCAAATTGTTGACGTGGTTTCAACTTATTTCTGCCGAGGGACGAGTTTAAAAAAAAAAAAAAGGTCGTCTTGTTTTTTTGACGCCGTGTGCTGCTTTGTTTAAAACGTCTTATGGCTGTCAACCCTGCGTCTTCCAGCTAACGTTGTTTGACGTCTGACGGTCACGCTACAGCGGCTGGACAGATGCACATTAATGTCACTGGGGTTCCTCACTCAGCCTGTTAGCATGGATGCTAACGTTGGCTAGCAGGGGTTATTGCCCCCCCTTTAATATTTGTAAAGACTACAGCACGCGCTTTTTGGGGAGGTTAACGCATTCGGCACGGTTAGAGTGACACCGCCGTTGTGAGTCTGTCATTGTCTGCACAGCCCCGCTAAAACATAACGGACTCCGGAGAGCACTCACCTTCCTCGGCGGCGGCTGCATTTTGGAGTATTGACATGAATGGTATTTCCCTTGCGAGATGTATTGTAATTCCAAGCGGAAATCCAAATCAGCGTGGGACTAATATTTTTTTTCCCCTCTTCCGAACAAGCAATCCTCCCCTTAAAGTCGACAGGGAGGACAGACGGGAGTTAAATTTCTACTCCGGCGGCCATGACTGATGATAAATGGCCAGTTTCGAGCAGAAGCTGAGGCAAACGAGCAGCGGCTGCACACACTTGTGTTGGTCGCTGCCACTACTATAGTGTGTACTGTACTGTTGTAAGCAGAGGAGCGGGCAGGCGGAGGAGGAAAAGCAGAGGGAAGGGATGAGTGGAGGGGGGGGGGGGGGTTAAAGGGGGGGACCATCGGCAGCTCAGCTCAACGGCTCCACCGTGTGGCCGGGAGCGGAATAACGCTCGTTGACCTGATCAAAACACCACCAGAAGCGGCTCGACACATCCTTTTTTTTGTTCGACGTTAACCACCAGCTTCGATTGCACCCACGCGGAGGTGTTTCGTAACAAACATATTAGCTCAACATGCAATTATTAAAAATGTGCAGGTTTGTTTGTTCAGTGGGCACCGAGTTTTTTTTTTCTCTCCGGGCCGTTCAAGGAGAAGGAGGCAGACAGCAGCATCCAGCAGACCTGCATAGCAACAAGAAACCGCAGTCGATCGAGGAAAAATCGATCGTGGAGTAAAAAGCACATTGAAATGTAATAGATTATAATAATAAAAACACGATTATTGTTTCGAATGCTTTTTCTTAAGAGAAGCATCGTTTAAGGTTGCTCCAGGTGAATCTCATGCCAAACAAATAGATTTGTCGTCCTAATTTTTATAACTTATCATACCAACGATAGTATCAACATTGTGGTGATCTTTTTTTTTTTTTTTTGGGGGGGGGGTGCTTTCACATAGCAGGGACCAGACAAGGTTCATTGAGATTATTGGGTATATTGATAGAGGGAACAGTTAAAGAAACACATTACAAAGAGGACCGTATGCTTCCTTAATAGAGACTATGTAGAGACTTTGGAAACAATGCCAGTTTTCAAAAGATAAAGTCTATTCATGAGAGGTTTTTATTAGGTGCATGAATTAAAGTCAACCAATGTATTTTAAATGAGATCATCAGAGTATGAACCAATGCATATGTTTATAGCTCCCCCTCAAAGGGTGACCTCTGGTAGCTAGTAATTGCAATGCTGCAAAAAACTGCACAAGGATATGACTTATTCAATATGGAAAGAAATGCACTTCATTGTCATTGTTTCCCAGAAATATTTTTTGCCAAATTCTGTCGTCATCAAGACTAATCGTTAACGTGCAGATATCATAAATCACCAACCACAGTCACAAAGGGACTGGTTGGACAAGTATTTTATTTCTTGACCCCTACCGACATGTACGGTTAAGGGACAGGTAATCATTAATACGCAAAGTTTCTGGGTTAGGTGATACATTAGGCATGCATTCTCACCCTACTTGTCAGTATTACAGTTTAAGCTAACACATCCACTGTTGTGCAGGGAAAGCAGTCACCAATTACTGAGTGTCAGTGGCAAAGAGAAAAATGTTATCATTGGTAAATGCTTTTTTTAATAAAAGGATTACTTTCATCTGTAATTTCTTATGATCATGAATATCTGTAAGGTAAGATAAGTACTTTCTCTGAAAGCCCTATTTGCACCATACACACCTTAATTCAAGGAAAGAAAAAAATGTAGATAAATAATTTGTCTGTCATGTTGTATGAGAAATCGGTTGTATTTTCTCTGGAAACATTAGAAGAGGGAGTTTTTCTGTTGTATCTTGGGATTAGAAATACTCTTTTTCTATTTAACGTAGTCATTACCCAAAGGACAGAAGCAAGAAACCCTACGTACTGTATATGCCAGGTTTTGTTGTTTTTTAACAAAAGGTAGACAAGTTTTAATTACTGAGTAGTTCCTAAATTTACTGAAGATACTCTTTGTGAATGATATGTTGTGTTAAATTCTACCTACAAGGTACCCTTTGGCTGTTCTCTTTTTAGCTCCTTAAATAAAACTCACTTTTTTTTTCTTCCAGTTTTCAAACCAAAAGAAAAACTCTGAGCCTCGGGGTCCCTCTGTGCAGGCCTTGGCTTGTCAGACTAGAACACACTATGACAAGTTCATCAGTCTTAGCGTACATTGCGCCATGAGCAACACAGTGAGGATGTCTTGCACAGGCGCGTCAGCACGTTAACGCTTAAGCAGTGCCAGTTTCATCGTGTACCGACTGGTATTATGGAGGTTTGCGTTGAGCTTGCATAGCAGAACAGAACTCACTGAATTATTGCAAAATATTGAGATATGTCGAGTTTGTGAAAGCATGCCTGCAGCAGGCGGGAAGAATTTGGGAGGCTCCTGCCCCTGTTTTACGTCTGTTTTCTGTTAAAGTTAACCTGCAGCTGTTTTGAAAAGTAAGAGGGTAGAGCAGGGTCCAGAGTGAGCATATTTTTAACACACCACAAGGCACAAGAAAAAAAATGTTTTTTGAAAAAACATGATGAGAATATTGAACTTGAACTCCAACTGAGAAGCCGGTAAGATTAAGATTTCCCCTCTAATACTCATGTTGGTTTTAAGAAAGTTGTTTCTTTGTTAATGCGTGACTGGTTTGAACTTGAGTGTGTTGGTTGGAAGGACAAACTGACAGTGTCTGAGTAAAGTAACACTCCACTGCACTGTGTACGAGGGAAGAGCAGTTAGAAAACTATCCTGAAAGAAAGTTATTAAGTTAAGTTATTCGTCTGTTTCTCTCTCTCACACAGCAGAAAGATTGTGGAATATTTTGACATGAAAATTGAAATGGGCTACAACTATATGGGCTATAACTATAACCGTAACTATATCAACTGTGTATACGATACATTTCTCTGTAGCAGATTTATCTTTGCTCAAATGTGGTTCAACCTTTCTTCCATGCATTCATTTAACATAAATATATATAATGTTTTAACATCACATAATAAGAGAGGTGTTGTGTGAGTATCCCCTTCACTCAGCTTCACACAATTCTTCTCATATTTATCCAACCCCTCACTCAGAAAGAAAGGTGCCATCTTAAGAAGTCAGTGTAGATATGATCAATTAATTTACGACCATGTTTAATGTGTGCTGGCTCTGGATTCTGTAGACCTTATTGTGAATCATGCCGGAGTCATAAGCTCTCCTTAAGTGGGAGTTTTGCCGCACTATGCTGCAGAGGCCTACCAAAGTGAGTGACTCACAGCATAACACCGTCCATGCTGATGTCACACTCTGTAATAACACAATTTCCTGTCATTTTGTATGCAAGATTGCTTCATTTCTGTGTAAAACACTTAGTGATTCAATTGAATTGTGTATGTCACTCATTCCTTGGTTTGAATCTCTCTTCAGGTGTTGTTACTTTACAAGATGAAAGTCTCGGGGATCAACAGCACCCACCCCGACAACTCCAGCGCACAATGTAAATTTAATGAAGATTTTAAATTCATTCTCCTTCCTGTGAGCTACGCCCTGGTCTTCGTGATTGGCCTGGCTCTGAATGCCACGGCTCTGTATGTGATCGTGTTTCGAACCAAGCGCTGGAAGCCCTCCACCATCTACATGTTCAACTTGTCCATGTGTGACACGCTCTACATCCTCACGCTGCCCTTCCTCATCTTCTATTATGCCGACGAGAACGACTGGCCATTCTCTGAACCCCTGTGCAAGCTCATACGCTTCCTGTTTTATGCCAACTTATACGGTAAAGTACCAACACACACACCCATTCTGCACAAAACGACACTTGAGTTTGACTACACAGAATGTTGTTCTGGATACAATGGTGAATTTTGAACATTTAAATGGCACGATGATGAAAATAATATGATTAATTGGTTATGTGTTTTGTTGTCTCCTTCCCTTCTTATCATTATGGTGTAAGGTCATTTTTTTACATCTTTTCCCCACAACTTTTGGGTGGTGAGCTCACTAGATGCTTCTTCATTTATAAAGTTATTCATCTGCTTCACAATTGAGGCAGGCGACAACTGCAGGCAGGGGAATACTTTTTTTAATTTGATTTCATTATAGAGCCCTTGTGTTTTAATACGAGCAGAATGTTGTTATGTGGCATATTGACCATCTCTGAAATCAAAAGTCTGGGGGGAAAAAACAGTTGCATGGTTCAACTTCCGTTTGTTGATTGAGATGTATTGGTAAATGGCCTGCACTCAAAGAGTACTTTACTAGCCCAGCTGCGCACTAAAAGCACTTTCACGCCACAAGTCACACCACATAAGAGTCTTTGCGACTTCACAGGGCTGTTGTCTCGATCACGCACACTCACCATGTGGGGTTCGGTGACCTGCCCAAGGACACTTTGACATGTGGACGGGAGGCTGGGAGTCAATCTGACCACCGTCCAACTGGCAAAGGCTCTTCTGTCTGGGCTACAGCTGCCCTGGAATTATTGACTAATATTTGACATATTTCACAGTACGGGTGAAGCGATCTACTATTTTACCACTTTGGGTTCGAGAAGAAAGACTTTCCTCAGTTATTCAAATATTCACGATATTTGCATGAGACGTTCCCAGTTGTACCCTCTCGACATTGTGCAGTCCTCTCAGTCTTCTTCTTACTCTGGTCCAGCTCACCGAAAAGCTGTTGCTGGCCTCAGTGTCAAAATTTCACATTGTATTGCCTTAAAATCAGGATAAAAAATAAAAAGGTTTCTGCACCAATTAAATGCAAATTACTGCATTCTGTGTTTGTCATGCACCTAATTTGAAACTATTATCCAGTCACATTTCAGCATGCTAAATGCACAGAATCAGTAACAGTATCAGAAATGATGAGGGACATTTATTCAATTAAGACAATCTCATTTTACCAATGATACAACTTCTTGCATCCAGGTTCCATTCTGTTCCTGTGCTGCATCAGTCTGCATCGGTTCATTGGCATCTGTTATCCTGTCCGCTCCCTCAACTGGGTCACTGCTCGGCGGGCCAGGCTGGTTTCTCTGGCTGTGTGGGCCTGCGTTTTACTGTGCCAGGCTCCTGTCCTCTACTTCTCAAGAACAAGGTGATTGGCTCAGGAAAAATAAAGCCCTGTTCTTTCTTTTTTTTTGGTGGGGGGAATTATGTCTCGGAACTGAATTGGGCGACGTCATAGAAAAACCCAAGCTGAATTTCTGTTCTGTCTACTCCTCTGCCAGGGATGTGAACACCGAGCGAATCTGCTACGACACCACCAGCCCGGAGCTTTTCGACGACTTCCTGGTGTACAGCTCGGTGGTGTCCGTGCTCATGTTCGCCCTGCCCTTCATGGTGGTCATGGTGTGCTACGGCCTCATGGTGCGGAAGCTTCTAGAGTCCGGCGGGGGCTCTGAAAGCGGAGCTGAAGGCGAGACGGGGGGCCTGACCAGCCAGCGGTCCAAGCAGAAGTCGGTAAAGATGATCATTATCGTGCTGGCAGCTTTCATGCTCTGCTTCCTCCCCTTCCACCTCACCAGGAGCCTTTACTACTCTTTTAGATACCTGAAACAGGTCAATCCAAAGCAGGTACGTTGTGATGGGTTTTATTGATAACGGCACCTTTAGAGGGAAGGTTTTTTTCTGATGTTCTTCTGTGTTCTACAGATCAGCTGCAGTTTGCTGGAGGCCTCTAGCGTGGCCTACAAGGTGACCCGGCCTTTGGCCAGTGCCAACAGCTGCGTGGACCCCATCCTTTACTTCCTGGCAGGGCAGGATGCCCGCAGTAATCTGACCAAGAAGAGCAAACTGCCCTCACCGAAAGCAACGAGCGTGAACCGGTGCTTGACGTCGCGGCTGTGACCAAAAGGCTGGGGCTTCTCCTGGTGAAAATGCTCCACATTTTGGGGACAAGTCATGCATTTGTTGTCAGCCTCCTCTTGTAGACATGACTCTAAAATATTTAGGGTAGTTCTCAATCGTCTGGACCTCATCTCTATGGGAAATGATGAATTTTTCATCTCCAAGGAAAAAGAGCTTTTAAGGTTGTCTTTTTAATTCGGCACTTTCAATATGCTGAACATCCTTTATGTGGTGATATCATTGAAATCATATCAGAAAGAAAATACTTTAGAGCCATATTTTAAAGTATGAAAAATATCATGAGCAATGAATTTTTTTTTTGTAAAGCCAATTTCTCGGTGCTTTCAAGGCCACATTTAAGTGTTTAAAGTCAACTCAAAAACATAACCATGGCAAATGTCTCTTTGAAAATATGTCTTCCTCTGACTTGATCAACTGTGGGGGCCCCAGATAACTGATCAAACTGACTTGTAATTGGTATTCCTTTTTCCCCCCAATTGAAAATAGTCCCAATTTACTTTGTATGATTGAAAGCGCCATGAGTACTGTAAAGATAAATATGCTTATGAGAACAAATCCTGGTGAAATTGTGTCTATATAAACAACAGTTCTTATTGTTCTTATTCTTCTGAAAATATAAACAAACCATAGAGGAAAGTGTGGAATTTAAGAAGCTGGCATGGTGGAGGTTGGTGGCATTTACGACTGTGTTCTGCTGTGGGGGTTTTAACAAATCAGGACAGTTCAGCACATAAATTGTGACAAGTATACCTGAGAGATAGCTCTGTCTCCCATCCAGTGAGTCACTAAACACCTCTCAGAGGATCCACTTCAGTAGAAGTGTCAATCAACTGATGAAAGAGAGGTTCATTCCAAATCATGACATTTTATTCTGACCTTATATCAATTTTTGAGGGGAAAAAAACATGATGTCTTCTCTGATTCCATGTATTAGCACCAAATCACATTTCCCAACAACTTAACTCAAAAGCTACTTCACCTCATGTTTGTAATGAATGAGTAGGATGAAAGAGCTGAGCTCCTCCCGGCCTCCTCATATAGATCACAGTAGAAGAAAGAATGTGTCAGAAGGATGGACTTTATATTTTCACTGACCTGCTTTTTGTTTGCCATACCTCAGAGTGGCCTCATCTCCCATCAAAGTATCGTCCAAGCAGGCAGTCTTCTCTTCTGGATTTGTAGATCAGTTTTGTGATACTAGTATAAAATGAAAAGTATAACTGTCACATCAAACTTGAAGCAATAACTTATTTTGTCATGATTTGCTTCTCTTACAGATTTTCTTTAACCAGTGCTCTGTAGTAGCTGAACAGGGCATCTAATAATGTAATGTACTTTTTAAAAAAGCTGTGAGGGCTTTAACTTAAATTTGTATAGAAGTGCCGCTGCACCATTTAATCTCAGTTGACCATCCTTGATTCATGGAGACATCTAAAGAGTAACCACTAGGGGACGATAGTGCTTGATAAACAAAACTGCTTTTTCCCCACAATTTGCATCTCCTTAAGCTTCCTTCAGATGTACCGCACTTTACATGCATCCATGTTGCACACTTCTACACACCATAATAAGATTATAATGAATTGGTTCCGATTCATATTATAATAACTTGGACTGAAATGGACAGTATTTGTTTAGGCTTGCTATGAACTCTTATTCTCCATCTAATGAGGCCTGGGATGGATTTTGTTTAGAAGTGGATTTCCATATTACGAAAGAGTAAAGTAAATGAGAGCAATAAGAGGCAGTGAAAACAGGACATGTAAAATACACCTCATCTTTATTTCAAGCGTAAAAACATCATACAAAAAATTTTAAATGATATAAATAAAGGCTACAAATCTGGTGAGGTGAATGCTTTTTACAAATCCTACCAACAACACCCCGGCTTTGAAACACTTAACAACTGTACTATAGTAGTGAAACCAGATCCAATGACAACGTGTAACTGTGTAACTCAAATAAATATCCTGTCCTTCGGACGTGTTGTCACATCCCTCCGTGTAGCAAAGAAAAAAATGAGTGGTTAAAAAAACCTCTATGATTAGAGTACATGCTTTAAAACCCATTGGCTAGCTGAGCTGCTCCACTTTGAGGCATTCTTAACCACCACTGCTTTGCAGCCTCTGGTTGGTCTGTTTAATTAACTTCAGAAGATAAATGACAGCTGGTATTCAGTGATTTCTTACAGTTATGGAGATTGCATAACTGGAGTCTAGCGACATGTGGTGTTTGGGTATGTTTGACAAGGCCATAATTAGATAGGAAAATTGGGAAAGAAAAAAAAATTTAAACTAGGGATTTTAATTGATGGGCTGAATGAAACATTTATCATGTCAATTTCAATCATAAATTCAGCTTATTTGCTGTGACGTGTCTCACTGGTGCAGTGCAGCTGTATCGCCTCACACTAACTGTGTGAAAAACTACCAAATCAAAGCAGGAAGTGTTCTTCTTTACCCACCCATATTTACATATGTACATTTATTTACATTCTTTGTTCTAAAAAAACGGTGATCTCTCTGGATCTTTCCTCTTCACTACTGGTCTCAGATAATAGCCGGAGTCTGTGAGGAGCGTCAGTTTGCTAAAAATGCTGGGATGTAGAGCTGTTTGACAACAAAAGTCAGCCACTTCAATCTGGTCAAAGAGCTTAGGGGTTACAAACTTTATCAATGCTAATTGTGGAAGGTCGTTGGAATTTAAAGGAAAAGTGCCACATTTCTTCTCTTTAGGGTCTAGAATATCAATGGCTGCAATCTCCCCTAGAATTGTCCACTTTAAAGTGGAAATGCTTGCGTGTTTTTTTCTTTTTGCTGCTGAACAGACTGTTTCAGTCATTTTGTGTCTATTAGATCTACGTGAATGAGCTATCGTACAGAGATGGAGATGTCTGACATGTAACAGAGATATTTCACATACTGCCTGTAGAAGCGCAATGAAGTTCAGTCGGTTTCGCTCGAGCTGGAACCAATCACTTGTTTGTGTGCAGAATGCTCCAATAACACAGCAGACACAGCTGCAGACCACACCAACCAGGGAGGATTTTCTGTCGACCTTGCATCTGTGTACATGAAAGCATGGCAAAAGCAGAGAAACCTGACAAACACCTGGAAGTGTAACCTTGGAGTGCTTTGCAGCTTTTCATAGCACGGAATGATTCCAGTCAATTCTGCCCTTTTTCAGGGTTAGCGCTCAGTGATTTATAAAACCCAGTGTATGCAGGGAGATTCTTATCAGACTAAATGCAGCATTTTAAAGGTGTAAAACATCAGTCTGCCTACAGCAGCAGCAGCAGAAGAGAAGGAAGTCAGATTTGTCAAACAATTTGGACCAAGATACAAATGTTTCCTGTTTTTTAAGGTGATGTTCTCCATGCTGCACATTGAAGGACTACTGGTGTATTTTGATCTGTAGCTTTCAGTTAATCCCTTAGGTATAGAACATCTGTCCATACATGAATCCAAATCCTTTTCAAAGCCATTTCTATCTGGATCACAACAGGAGAGCAGCAACTGGAGTTTTTTAGAAAAAAAAAAAGTTTTTGTTTGATGTCATAATAATAAATAAAGTTATGTTCCTCTTAGGCTCCAGTCCCCCCCGCGGCCCCATTAGGGGATAAGCGGTTATGAGAATAGATAGATGGGTTATGTTCCTCTTATCATGGAACTACAAACAACTTCTTTCAGCAGGAGGACACTCAGACCATGCTCCCTCCTAAGCTGTCTTCAGATGATAAAAGCCATCTTCTGCGAGGTAGTGTCATCATAGCTTCGTCTTTTTGTCTCCTCATCTGAGAAGAAGAAAAGTGAATGACTGACAGGCTTTAACGTCAAAATCACAGCTCTGTGATTTCATTGATTCACAATTGAAAAGATGTAGGTAGATAATTTTTACTCTGAGAAGAAGTCAATTATTCCTGACAACAGAATGTAGCAGTTGTCATTAATCTGACTCGACTTTAAAGGCAGAAGCCAGAACAATCGGCAGACAAATTGAACTGCGTTACCTTCTGAATCCAGATGAGGAAGAAGAGGATGAGAAATGTCTCCCACCAAACAGGGAGTTCCTCTGCTCCTGTGATGAGGTCTTGGTTTCCAGGGGGATCGGCTTGTACTCGGGAATATGTGCGACTTGAAATCTGTAGATTGAATTTAGTGGTTCTTCATTCTGCAGCAGCGCAGACGCATTTACAACAATACGAGCTGTACTCACCTCCCCACAGACAACACTGTGAGCTCTCCTTCCTTCGTCTCCTTCCCTTCTTTTCCGTCCACTTTGTCCTGAACAGTTTTTGGCACGGCAGCACTTTGCGTACGATTTGTGTCCACGCACAGCCCCGGCAGCAGCGGGACGTCCTGCTTGTCGGTCGGGGTGTCCAAGGAGGGCAGCATAAGACTTGGGGGGGGCTTCAGAGGATCTTTAAGAGAGTCCAGTGGAGGAATGAGAATAGGGGGCCATTTCTTTTGGGCGCAGCGGGAGCAGCGGTAGCCGTGCCGCGGGGCCCGGCCGGAGAGGCCGGAGATGGTGTGCAGATGGGACTGGTGGGGGCAAAGCCTGGGCAGAGAGCGGAGCGTAGACAAGGGGGAGAGCATCGGGAACCTGCAAGAGGGCGCAGGAGATGAGAAAAGTTCAGTGTTTTACATATTTGGTTTAGTCCAGTACAAACCACCAAACAAAAAAATTGACATTCATAAAACCCGGGTTTACACAAACTCGGATGAAATCTGTCAAGACTCTCAAAGTAACAGCTTAACAACCTGTTAGGTTTCAGTCTGTGCTGCTAAATGAGAAGGCATGACGGAAAGTCTTAACAGTATCTCAAGACACGGCCTGCAACTCTGCTCGTGTTTAGTTTCAGTAAGAGCAGATTACGTTGATGAATGAAATGCGAGGCTCTCTGTTTTTGCAAAGAAACGTGCAAAAGTGATTAATGCAGCTGTGTCTGCTATACTGGCTGGTAGGCTATCTGTGGGGGCTCCACATAAGCCCACGCAGACCCTCCCTACAAACACATCCACACACCTCAAAGGTTTCCAGAATGGTTTGCTGGTGTAGAGTGTGTGTGTGTGTTTTTTGGAATGTTCTCGAAAATGGAGCTCACATGTCCGTGTGGATGCACTGAGCAACCTGGCTGCACCACAGGTCCCTGAAACCTCCCGCTATTGTGCGTTTGGCTTTTAAACTGATACAAATTGATTGACGCTGTTTCCACTGTGTTGTAATGATTACAATATGGTTTAAAACAAACAAAGAATCATTTTAACCTTCTACTTAACAGAAAATACATTGAAAATAATGACATTTTGAATGCTACCATTTTTAATAATCAGCAGCACATCTACAACATGATGCCAGAGAGGCTGACGAGCTCAGAAGTGGGAATGTGGTGTAAGCCTCCGAGTAAAAGTCAGAGCAGAGTAGTTTACACAGTGGTATAAAGCAGCGTGCTATTGGTCTTGTCAAATTAAATTCTGACTACTTGTGCAATTTTAATGCCACAGCTTACACACCAAGTTCCAACCACAGCTACACGTGATCTCGTAAATTGTGTGACTTCAACCTTTGTGACAGCCAGCGAGCTTAGCCACAGACCGGCTGTTAGAGCCCCACGGCTAGACAGCTGCTCCCAGAGACGCTCCTCAGACCGGTGGGAGTGAGTCAGCGCCGAGCACCAAACTGCTCCTGACCTCAGGAAAGGTGGCCGGGGTAGTTTACTTTTTAAAATGGTTACGTTATAAAAGGGAAAAAAATAAAACTGCTTCAGCTATGTGTATGAGACCATTTTTACATCAGCATAGTGAGACTAATTCCTGTATTTCCCTGCCTGTTCAGCGTGTCACACACATCAACAAAAACAGAAACACACAATTTAGTTTTTTAATGATCCCTTCTGGTAACAGCCTGTCTGTGCACTTCCTTTGCCTCCTTGTTAAATGTGGCCTCGAGCAGCATGACTGAGTGAAAGCACACCGTCATTTGTGTGTGTGTGTGAGAAAGTGTGTGGGCACGTACTTGATTGATGAGCCTTTGCTCATCTGCTTGCTCTCGTACTCCAGCAGCAGTTCCTCCAGTGCGGCAGCATTTTCTGAAACGCACAAGACTCGGTTGTTAGACAAAGTTTCAGTGACCACAATCAGATTCCACTCATTTATTTTATTTTCCCCCTTAGTCCACATCTACAAAGTTCGACGTTTCCTGAGTGGTTACAACTGGGGGATTAATCAATACCAACCAGTGGTGTTACGGTGGAAAACAGACCATCAAACATAAGTCTATAAGTCTTGTAAGTTATAACAAACTGTCTGGGAAGCAAAGTTAAACGTCCCATTTCCTCTTGATTTCAGTGTTCTACTCGTGCTATTATAAGAGGACCGACAACACGAGCTGCTGAGTGAGCCGATACAGGCCCATCTGTAGCCGTGTGATGACAGAAAAGAACCTGACCACCTCAGCTTACCCGCGACACCACTGCTGGCAGGGGCTTACCTTTTTTCTCAGTGATGAGGCGAACAAGAACACTGATGGTGTCTTCGTTCAGGTCGTCTGATATGTACGCACAAGTGTTACCTAAGGAAAGATGGTAGAAGAGGAAGGAGGGAAAAAGAACGTTAAATGCGAGCAACCACAACTGACCGTGATGGACAGGGGACATGTCCAAGGTGCACCCGCCTCTCGTCCAGTAACAGCTGGGATTTCCAGCGCGACCGACCCAGGAGTAAGCGATATAGACAATGGATAGATCATTTACAGCCATCTTTATCTGGTTAACACTGTGTCTTTGCCGCGCGGAACTAAATATGGAGTGCTTTCAAATCCCACAAATTCATCTTACAAGGACATAGCTGCCCAACGTCTTATGTGAGGCTTACAGTACTCTAGTAATTACATGTATGAAAGGTCACAATTTATAAAATGCAACTATATTTTTTATTGCCCATGTATTTTAACTACCAATATTTGATATGCCCATTTTAAAGGGATAAGCACAGGCACAGTTAATGAGACGCACGTCACTGCTGGCACAATATAGATGAACTGATAAGGATGGACGTGGATGGCTGAGCAGCGAAGAATAGAAATGCTCCTATGGCAACCTCTCACCACCCTATAATAGCATGGCACAGAGAGGCAGCTGAGAGGAAAGGGATTGGCCGGGGGAGGGAGGGAAAGAGGGGGGGGCAGAACAGACTCACTCAGCAGTTATGCTCCATTCAGCACTGCTGATGCACACTGGCCTCAATGCGTGTGCAGAGAGTCACTATGTGTCTGTGAACTCTACAAACCATGGCAGGTGACACTGTGTGTCTGTACAGAGCCAGTGTGTGCCCGTGTGTGTGTGTGGAAGTATTATTTCTGTGTCTGTTGTATCAGCAGCATTGGCCGTTGTTAGGCTGTAACAACAGCTCTGTCTCCACTCTGGCTGTTGCTATGTAAAGATAATAGATTCGGTCTCACCCGATGGCACTCATTCACTTTTGTTCTTTCCTCCAACAATGTGTGGGACACACTGTAAGGCACAAGTTTCTGTTTGCTTGGTTTTGAAACGTGATATTTCATAAAAGGAATCACGTTTGTGCCATAACTGACTTAAAATGTTGCACACAAATATGAAAATGTTGCCCTTTTAGTAGTGGCATCATGCCTGAGCAGCCTCATGTGACATGGTTGCAGATCTCTACCCCATATTTGCCCTTTATGATTTATGAGTCTCTTCTTTGACTTTCCTCTCCAATGAGGCAAACTTCCCTGTGAGTTAATCGTGGCTTGCTCTAATTCATCCCTAGGGTTGTTCCCCATGAATGAAGATGATGAGAAAAGTGCTGGGGTTATTTGTTCCTCTGACCCTAGCCCAGTCAGGAGTGTCGAAGACAGATTGTTCCATAAAATCATAAATGAATGAGAAATAAACAAAAGAAAAAGACAATCTAAGAAGTGAGAAATAGTAATACAGAGAGTCCGAGTCCGAAAAGAATGAAACAGAACCTACTAACAATGAGGTGGGCACCTGATTGAATTATTGATCTTGCTGGGAAAGGAGAGATGGAGAGTTAGTGTCATGTTCTGATGAGGAGGGAGAGGACTGCCAGAGTCAAGAAATTGGATCAATTCAAAGTAGAAAGAGCGGACAGGGAGACGATTGTTGGAGGAGTTTTCCTTAAAGTAGATGAGGTCAAAGCAATGCTAAGACAAATAACCTACACTCCTAACCCCACAACACTTGTAGTTATGAATGAGTGAGCATATCTTTTGCACATGCATATGTCTTCTGGGAAGTGAACAGTATTGTAACTGTATGATAACTTTAAAGCCTTTTAAATGGACAGTTTGCCAGTGTCTTTTGATATTTAGCTCTATAAAAAAAACAACAACTAATGGACATTTTAAATGCGCTGACAGACTGTGCACGATCCTCAAAGCGGCAGCTGTCGAACAAAAAGGTAAACGGCTCTCTGACGTGGGGCCGACCTGCTGGTCTGTCGGGCTGGCAGCTGTTCTCTGACAATCCTCGCAGCACGGAAAGCCTCTTCACACGGCTTCCCTTTGAGCTTTGCAACATCAGGTGAGTGAAGGGGAAACACAGCTTAGTCTTTAAATCTGTTTGCGCTTGGCCACCAAATTACAGCAGCTGCGAGCTGCATATGTTAACCTACTACTGCGGCAATGTCTGGATGAAGTGTGCAGGAGCAACGCGGATAAGCAGCTTACTGCAGACTAAGGCAGAAGCTAAATGTGTCTCCCTGTCAGCAACATGAGGGCGAAATGACAATTCATCCTCAGTGTGGTTTAGTAATCTTTAACTTTGCCCCGTGTTTTCTCTCGTTCTATTGCATTCTCACTGCATCGTAAACTTTTATTGTGCGTTAGATTGGACAAGACGCCTCAGACCCAGACTTTGAAAATGACACCTCACATCGCTGTGGGTCTGGTCCCACACGGGTGTAAAACTTACTCTGAGCAGTATGTTTTATAAAGGCCATAAAACCAAACAGGTACAGTCCACTAGCTGCAGTATCAGCAGAATGGAAAGTTGGGTGTATTTTGCCACATGGCGTGTGCAGCAGTGTGGTTTCTTTTTTAATGAGGGGGAGGAGGAAACATCTGGCGTGAGCCAACATCATCGACCAGCCATTATGACTGCGGTGTGAGCTGTTGCCGTATACGGGCAAGTTTTAAAATCCGAATGACTTTTATTTAGGTGAAAGGGGTGAAAAACATGATATGTGAGGAGCTCAGAGGATCAAACGTCTGTGCACTGATTAAAAGAAGGCCATGAAACAAGATAGAATGGGTGGGAAAATTCCTTTTCTTGCTCACCCTGGGGCTGTTTGTTTTTTCAATCATTCTTATTCTAAACTTTGACATATTCAATCTTCTTTCGTTTGTTCCCTCTCTTTAAATCTCTGTCTTTGCGTACCCAGGTTGGAATCTCTAACAGCAGTGGCAAAATGAGAGGTTGGGAATGGTTTTTGGCCCCCACCACTTTTAAAAGGAAACTTACAATAAAGTATTACATAACATTTGTTAAACAAAAACCTCCTGTTCAAAAAATTCTCACATTAGACTTGGAGACTGTGACATTGTGCCTCAGCGGGGTTCGAGGCTGCACACAGAAGCTCAGCCTTTGAGCTCGGCCTGGTTTCGGCTGCACTGAGTGCGTGTTTTGTATTTTTGTAAGTGCAGTTTCAGTCTTCACCCTCTCTCTCTCTTTCTGTCTCTTTCTCTCCTACCTTCTTTCTGGGGAGTGGCTGCCTCTTCATCTCCTCCTTCCTTCTCGGCAGTACAGCTGTAGCCTTTCTTTTTCAGGATGTTGCAGATGAGGATGCCCAACAGGCCCATCACACAGAATATGGGCACCAGGGCGAACACGGCGTATTCGGCCGTCTTCTCCTCGGCGCTGCGCACCACTGTGCTGTTGGCTGGTCCTGCGGCCCCACTGGACGGGCCGTTCTCCACCGTGCGGATCATTCTGAGATGCAAATCCCCTGAGAGAAAGTAGAGAAATGAAGGAAAAAAAAGAGTAGAGCCACATGAGGTAAGAGAGACTGGGTCCTCTGTGCACAAAGAGCGAATGAAGCGATGCAGAGGCATGCTTACTTTTCACACAGGGACTGTGGGTGGAAACATGCCCTGCAGCAGTGGCACGGAACCTGCAAATGGACGAGACAGAATAGTAAAGAGCATAATTAAAGAGAAGGATAAGAGAAAAAAAAGACTAGGAATGAATCAGCTGTTATAGCCTGTGGCGTGTTGTGTCCCATGGAGACTTGCCCCCCCCATTGTGGTAAATGACACACTGTACTGGTCTGTGTGTGTAATTGTGTTTTCCTGTTTTCTACAGAGGGAGGATAACATTAGGAGTTGGGATGTTAACTGAGCTGTGGGTGGTGGGCAGGCGGGCAGACCACCACAGAAGCAGGACAGCAGTTCTCACCCGGGCAGACAGTCCCCACAGACAGCATCTGAGGAGCTGGTGCCAGCCGTCACAACTATTCTGCCGAGGGTCCTGCAGGAGGTGTGTGGACGGCAGAGGTCAGCATCCAGTGTATCCGAAAAGCTTCCTGGTGGGCACATCCCACACTGAACTTCATCTGATGGACTCTGAATCTGCTCGCAGGCCTAGGATGAATGAAAACCCAACCAAAGTCAGAGAAAGGGGACTAAAAATGACAGTAACTGCTCTTTGGTGCACTTGACTCTTCACATTAAGTAGTAAGTGAGGAAGTCACCTTTCTTATCTTCCTTATGCAATAACAATTAGGCTACTGTTATACAGATGTGTATCTTGAATGTAAATGGATATGAAAAAGGCTAGACTTCTTAAAAATTTTACTCGCCGTGCCGTCTTTTTATAATAAATCAGATAACAAAGATGTTTTATCAGTGCTGTAATTTCTGCTCGCCGTCTCACCTTGGATGGCTCCTGGCCTGCAGGACACTGCAGACACTGGCATCCTTCCCCCCGCCGACACCGCAGCGTTGCAGTCCCACCACAGCCAAACACCTGGAAGCCAGGCGTGCCTCAGTGAGCGGCAGTGCAGCCGCACATTCAGGCAAACACGGGCATGTACGGTCGACATATTTACCGCAAGGAGGACGAGAGCTGAGCAGCAAAGGTGGTTCATCATCTTCTTCAGTGTATTCCTCTATGTGCATATGATCTACCGGAGGCACAAAGGGCAGAAAAAGAGCTGCTCACATCTGAGAGCAAAAACATGACCAGGTCCAAAGCATCAAATGATTAAAAAAAATTTTTAAAAACCTGAAGAGACAACTGTCTTTCTCTTTTTAGATGGGAAAGAACACGAGTGTGCAAAAAGCGGCGGGCTCAGGTGGCAGAAAAACACCTGAGTCACCTCTGTGTCTTATGGACAGAGCTGGGACTCTGGGAATGGGGATGCTTTAAAAGCTGTAAATAACATTTAGCATGATTCACAAACTTTTTATGTACAGCAGTGAAAGGAGCTGGGATTTTCTGGGGCTATATTTGGAGCGCTCACAAACACAGTTCATGCAGTGACTCATTCTGCAACACATTCATTTCCCAACGAACGCTTTCTGAACACTTGATGTAATTAAAAACAAAATGGGCGATTTTCTTTAAGGAACACAGGAATGCTCTCTGCCACCAACGAGGGTTGCCTTCTTCTCAAATGTTTGAAGAAGGAAAATCCTTTATTTTGTCGTTTTTTTAGCAGCCATACTCCTATTTACATATTCTCGTGTACTTATAGAAAAAGCTTTAAGACATTTGGCATATTTTATGGTCTTTCACTAAAGTTTCCACCTCATTTCACGTGTAATCACCAAGCTTTATTGGTTTCACCTGCATCTACAACATTCCAAATGGCTGGTTAAAACCCAAATTCAAGTTATGTGCCAACATGTCTAAGAGACCAAGTTACTTTAAAGTAAAGCAGAGAAATCTACCGTAAGATTTATGTTTTATTTCACAAGGTTTTGCACATATTAATATTTTATTAATTCACCAGCAGACAAGATTAAGAAAAATATGTTTTCAGCAGGAAATTCTTCTGCAATGGACTCTCCTAAGTGGCCACAATTATAGGATTGTGAATCTAGCCAACACTAGAATTATCAGGGGGAGCCCTTAGCCTGCAGCCACACAGCAGGTCGTTAGTGGTGAGGATTTGACTCAAAAATGGTAGACACGAATGGCATATTCATAAACTTGGAGTCAATCTCAGCACTTGTCGCACTGCATCTTGTACAACTTAAGTATGAAGGCATCAATGTTTGTGTCAGAATATACCATGAAGTTAAAGGACATCTTTTCTTTCTCACATTAGGAAATAATGAGTTACCGGCCCCAAACAGGCTGAGGCACTTATGTGAAAAGATTAGTAAAGCAACAAAGACTGAAAAAGGAAGCACCCAAGAGGAAAAAGGCAGAGGCGCATACTTACCCCAGACTTGCAGCTGACACAGTTGCCGTGGCAACCTCAGCAAGGATGCTTTCCTGCTACAACTGCTGAACCAGGACAAAATTCTACCTTTTCTTGCAGTGCTAAAGAATAACGCAAACACCTGACTAAACCCTTCCCTGGGTGAAGCTGTCACTTGAAAAAAAAAACAGGAAATTTAGGTAGGATTTGGTAAAACTGAATATATCTCAGCTATAGGAGCCTCAACAACTGAAATATACTTTTAAAGTTATTCAAGTAAGTTAAACACAGTTCCACTTGTCTGTGCAACTGAATGAAAAACTCAAGAGTACCTGCCAGTGTCTTATACTGTCACTCTGACCACAGACACACCCCCGACGCCCTCAGGACATGCCCCTCCTGTCACAGCAATACCGAGTGTGTGTGCCCATTGTGGATGTGCGTGGGTGAGGCCGGTTTAATCATGCTCTTCACCTTTGAGCAAGCAGCAAAAACATGGCACTTTATCATTATTTAGCAGGTAAATCAACACTCTTATATTTCACTCTATTCAGTCTGCTGCTGTGAGTTTGCAAAGTACACACAAATGTGAACATAAGCTCACACACTCATACATCTTATCCCTGGTTTACATTTGCAGTGACTGCCTGACAAGTTTTTTGTGTACTCACACAAATCCTTAATGTACAAAGAACATTAAGAGCTCTGAACGGCCTCACCGCTGGCAGGCTGGGCCTTACAAAACCACACGCAAAATGTAATGACTTTATGATTTCAGCCTGGCCCTCACTGCAAGGCAACGGGCAAGGCATTTCAATAACAGACTTCTGAGGCGTAATTTCAGGGGGGAAGAGAAAGATAAAGCTGGGACAGAGAAAACCACTCGCTTGAAAGAGGAGTGCAGGGCCAAAGGCCACGGGCCAATCCAATCCGAGGCGAAAAGGCAAAGAGAAAGGGGGGAAGGAGAAGAAGGAAAGGGGAGAAACTGGCAGGAAGTGACATTGCTAAAATTTCAGGCTGATAGCGTGATATATTTATGGAAGCATTTGTTAAAATGCCATTTAGACCAAAGCAAGAGGCTAATTACAAGTCAGACACGCGCACATATGTCTACGTTCACTAGCATGCACCCTGGTGCGCACACAGGGCTGAAGGAGGAAAAAAGTTATCAATAAAACGACAATGATAGAGAGAGCAAACCAGAAAGGGGACCCACAATTAAATACTGCTGTTTTTGGAAAGTGTCAAGTAACAAATTGGAATGAGCTGCAGGGGCCGAAGAGCGCCAGCTATCCTCAAACAACCCCGATTGACCTCCAGATGTGCAGTCACCGACAACAACTGTACATGAACTGCAATGGAAGAATGTAAAACAACCTCTGTCTTAATTAACGTTTTTCTGACACAACAGTTTGCAGCTTTCTTACTCTGAAGAATGTAACAAACCCTATGGTGCGTAAAAGCCACTAAAAGTGATTTCACTGGGAATCTTTCAACAAATTCTACCCAGAGTGTGTCAGCTCATTCGCCGATCACCTACAGGACAGAGCAGAAGACTGGAAATATCCTGAAAATGCAGAACATGTGAGAGAGGATGTCCAGCTCCCTAACCGCAGCCTTCAGAAGTCAGCAATTTGCAGCCAGGGAACCAAAGCCCGTCCTCCCTGTAAATGTGATGCATTTACATTTATATCCACTTTGTCTGAGGTTTTCCCCACAAACCCACTACAATAGGGACGTCCCACCACATGTGGGACGCCCTACAGGCACGTGACCGACCCCCCTCCCCGTGTCCATGCAGGGCCTCGTGTGCCTTCAAACGCTAATTGTCTTTTTTTTTCTTTAGCCATCAAAAAGTGCCTCTCTTTTTAGCAGACATGTAGCACTCCATGGTCCATCCATTCTTCCTTTGAAAATCCTTCCTTTACACTTGAGTGTGGCCAGGTGAGGTGAGGCCAGGGGCTACAGGCTGAGATGAGAGATTCCCAGACCTCCTCTGAAGTGTTCCCAAAGCACCACAGAGAAACGATCTCTGATACGGGTTCTAGGTCTGTCCAAAGGCTACGTCCCAGTGGGAAAAGTCCTCAGTGAGAGGTGCGTGGAAGGCGCCCTGAGGAGCTCCCTAACCTACCTCAACCGAGGTAGTTTGTTCATCTATCCGCCTAAAAAACATTTGAAAACCACCACAGTGCTCCACATGGCTCTCAACTAATCGAGGCCAAAAGGAACTCATTAATATCATAATCTAAGATGACTGGAGATTTAGCAGCACAGTCATCAATTTAGGACCAAAAGCTACAGGTGGCACATGACCTGATAGATAATTTCATATGAAATCCCTATCACCGATCCCCTAAGCTTAATGAAAACTAGTCACATCCCTCAGATACAAGGTTTTCTTAGGGGTAGCTAAAGCTAAAGTCCATATGCAGAAGAAGAAAAGATGACAAACACAATGTTTGTCCCAGAGGACGAATCTGATTCCAGCGTTAGACCACAGCTCATTTTGTGGTTCAGATAGACTTTTACTTTTCAGCTACTTATTCAGGCAAAGGTTTGGGGCTAGGTCAGGGTTAAGTTCGGGAAAAGGTCATGATTTTCTCTGAAAGATGCATTTTTTTGCAAAGTTTGCTCTGAAAAATAACACTTGAGGTATGTGACACCGGATGGCACTCCATATGGCTGAAAGTGACCCCAGACTCACTGTCCACTAATAGTTGACATGTAAAAAAGGCTCTTAACTTTTCACTTCCTACCTAACAAATTTAACCCACTGCCAGGTGTTTAAAGAAGAAAATCAATCGCATTCCGTAGTGCTTGTTGGTATATGTAAGCTGGTATGTGGAGGCCTTACTTTTAAAGGCTTTCAACACAGAATTCACATAATTATACAAGTCAGAGGAGTTTTTCGACTTCTTATAGCAGAGTTTTACGTCCTTCAAGTGGTTTGCTTGTTTCCACGTGCCCATGCTGTCCTCGCTGACTTGTCTGAACTGTCAGGCCTGCGTTTTTATTGTTTGAACGTCTCCCTTTTCATCCCATGCATGCTTCCCGCCGTTGTCTGCCATGTGCTTTGGTTTTGTAGCCTGCAGTCAGATGGACGTGTGGTTTGAGGGGGTAAGGGACACACAAAAGAAAAGAAAGAAATTGAGTGGAGACAAGAAAGGAGGAAGAGCAGGATGTAACCGGACATAAACACCTCTCAGAATATCCCAGCAAACACAGCAAAGAGGCCAGCGGACAACACCCGCAGTGTTTTCGTCATTTCATGCAACCGGGAGGAAAACAGCAAGACGTGAGTGGGGAAAAAAAGGAAAGATTCCAAAACACATCAAAGCAAAAACAGAGGAGTGTGTGCGTTTGTGTGTGTGGACTTTTCCCTAAAATTTCATAAAACAATAATTATCCAAAACCCTCTGTGTCAGTGTTTGACACAAGCAAATAGCAAGTCACTCCATTAGATGACAAGTCACATTTTCTGTTTTGTTCAAGGTGGGGACTAAAAATAGCCGTAATAAAGAAGTGATGGCAGAGGCATGACAAAAACACGGACATTATTCTGCTCTGTGGTGGCTTTGGAGGCAAGGACGGGCTAAATGTGTTTGAGAGCTTTTCCTGCCTCCTTGATGTCATGCTGCAGCTGAGCTGAGAAATCCTCCTGGATGAAGCTGTGAAGGAAGGAAGGAACCACAAAAGAGGAAACCCAAGAATGAGTGGAACTCCTCTCCTTTGAGTCCGAGGTGACTGGCCAGATGTGGGGGATCATGGGTCAGGCCACCACGCTGCTGGCTAATAAACGATGAGCTGGCTCTGTCAGGCTGATTGGACGATTCTGCTTTGACATGAGACTTTATCTTTTTTTTTTTTTTAAGTCTAGGGACACAGAAAATGTGGTGTACTCATGCTGACAGATCTGAGGGGTAAACAATCCAGATAAACAACAAATGATAACTGTTTGCTGATCGTGTTTTTATATTGATTGGCTGGGAAATGACTAAATGTTCTTGCTTTGACTCTTGGAAGGGAAACCTTTGTTTTCTGTCCAGGTCAAACTAAAAGTTGTTCAGATGCACCAGGTAGAAAAGGGAAAAGAAATGACATGACATGAAAGTGTAAAGAAATAAAGAACTCTCGCCTCACAAGGCTCAGGAACAACAAAAACATTTATTTTTATTATCTCATATGACTTGTGGACAGAGTACCATAAAAACTTTTGTTTATGTCATAGAAAGGAAGTCAGCTGTTATTTCTACATTAACTTTCCGAATTCACTCCATCAGTGACTCAGTTAAAGATGACTCGCTGTATTGTGAAATTTCTTTCTTTGTTCAAATAATGTCAAGGAACTGTCCGACTTCAATTTACGACCCTCTCATTTGTCTCAGACAAAAACCGTTTGCCGGGAACAAAATGATCTCTAAGGCCACGAGTGTTTCCACAACACCCTAAACAATTCAAACTTCTTAAAGGAAGTAGAAATATCGCCCTATTATGCTGAAGTACATCCCGGTCTCGCCTTGACTCAGGCTAAAAAAAAAAAGAAGAACACATTAGATTTTCCTCTTTGACATGATCTAAGTAGGTTTGACCATGCCGATAATGTCCGGCTGTGAAGCCTAGGAGGTCAGGGCCAGTGTCTCAGCCCGGGGGAACACTTCGCTGTGATGCACACGAGTATTATCTCACCAGGTAAAGGGACATATGCAACTGAAAAAGAACTGAGGCGGCAAAAAAAAGGTTTAAGGTAATTACACTCCATTATTCATTAGATATTTTGTGGGCCAAGAGATAATGTGCACGTGTACGAAAAGGACGTGAATGGGAGAACCATACCCTCTGTTTGACTCTATGCAGGTGCCCATTATCAGCGAGAGAAAGGCCGCTTTACGCCAGCGCTTTGTGCGTTAGCGCTTAGACAATGTCTCAGGATGGGGAGCATGTCTGGTAACTGGGCAGGCCTCGATCCCTCCCAGAGTTCCTCTCACTGACTCTCTGTAAAGGTCATTCCTCCTCTGTCCTCGGGTGATGTCACCCATCACATTTTCCAGTGGAACTGTACACCGGCGGCAGCTCGACAGGCCTCTCTTTTGACTCTGTCAGGCAATACTAATTGGAGCAAGAGGGGCTGAACTGAGAGGTTAAGTGGGAAAACGCACGGCAAATGGAAAAAGTTTTTTAATGACACGAGCTACGCCTACAAATTTTGGTCATCACTAAAACAGTTACTGTCAGTCAATGCTAGTTATAATTTCATAATTGCAACAGAGTCCAAATGTCCCTGTGTGGTGCCATGTAG